AAAAACGAAGCGAGCCCAACACAGTAGACGGAGGTCGGACGTGGTCCTCCTTAGCGGGCGACGATCTACTTTGCTGGTGGTCTTCATAAGCGAAAACTTAGGGCTATTTTCCCCACTTGACGTAGGTGACGGCCGCAGTGTCTCTGCCCGCGACACGCTAGACATCCAGGCAAGGGTCTGGGCAATTGATCTTCAAAAACCCTTCTTAATAAATGCACGTATTCTCTAACACCGGGCAGGCCCAGAAAGTACTGCAAACCGCAAGGATCGGCAAGCAAACTGGCACGCCAAATCGTGGCGTTTCGATTGATACTATACAAAGAGATGCATATCGACGAAAAAATGTGCAAACAGACATACACAAGAAACACGGACTATATCGACGATATGCGTCGTACACGTTTCCACTCGCAGAGAGATGCTGCCCTCTCCCTCGCAGGGCACCTGCAGAGAATGTGCCGCTACCATGCAGGTCGATATGCAAGTTTCCGAGCCCGAGCATGGTCGAGGCAAGACATTCAACATTGGGAAATACCAGACGGAAAGGCGGACACGGCCAAGCCGATACGGTGGGACAGCAGAATATATGACGTACGACATATGATTCGATATGCGACGTACAAGCAACTCACAAGCGTGGAGTTTGGCATATGCACGCATCCGTCTGCTGGGACGGGCGGGGATGAGAACTACGAACCCGACGGGGAATAAATCATGTATCCAGAGAGGAAACGCTGGATCTCAAGGACAAGGATAAGTCACGCCAGTGTTTTTGTGCTGTGCTCTCTCGCTGTGGAGAATCTTTATTGAATCTTTGTCGTCGTTATGTGCTTTGTGCATACGGGCGAGCTCCACAAGACGCATGTTCGTCGAAAGTAAGACGAAATCAAACCGCCGGCCGGACATGGTCCCTTGCAATTGCATGGAAAACAGACAATACGCTGCAAGGGAGGCAAGTAGGAGACAAGGAGAAAAGGGAAAAAAACGGAGAAATGGGACTAGGGCCACCAGGGCAAAGAGAAAAGAAACAATAAAATCTTACAAAGGACGATGTACAGAGGGGCTGGTAATGAGAGACAGCGTGGTCCTTTGAATTAAAAAAGACGTCAGTTGCGTTACATCGTCGCACCGTGGCGCATAGCTCTGGCAGTGCCTGTGAACGTTCAGCCTCTCATTTGGACGCGCACGCGGCTCCACCACAGTCCATCGCTGTTCAGAACTGCCACTTTTGCCACTGTTGGGAAGAAATTTGACAATAATGTCTTGCTTCCTTGGGCGTGTTTTAAGGTCAGTCGAAAAGACAAACAAAATGGAAATCGCCGAGGGGCTACAGAGCGTGGCAAAGCGCCACAAAGACACAGAGAGGACACCCGAGGGGTGCTTCATATGTGTCAAGACAACTTGGTAGGGATGACTAGGGGGCGACGTGTAGTTGGGGAATGAAAGGTCCCTTTTGCTATGCCTGTCCCATGTCCATAGCTGCAACCGAAGCACATGCGTCGATAGAGGGGAAGGTGACGAGAGAAGAACGTGCCAGGAAAATTGAAAAGCGAAAAGCAATACAGCAGCGGAAAGAAAGGAAGAAGCGATATGGGGTGTATTACGAATACAAAGTATACGGGGAGAGTTACAGAGGCTAGATAAAATCGATACCACGGAATGTAGCGATGGTTGAGACTCGCGCAAGATGGCTGGCTCCGTTTCCACATGGAATGTTCCTCAGGGTCTCGTCATCAGTCCAATTATCGCCCAAACCACATTGCGATCTGTGCCGATGCTCCGCTGTATTTGCTTTGGTTTTCGGTACAATTCCCACGATGGCTTCGTGGACGGCGTAGAGAGGGAGAACATGTAAAGTCCGGAGGAAGGGTGGAAGGCGAGTAGGCGATATGGCTGTCGATACTTCTCCACCTGAGCAGAGAGACGGGCAGAAAGCATCACGAGAGTTCTCCGTGTGTTGTAGCGTTTCTTTCTTCGTGATTAGGCTTACGCAAGCCTCGCAGTGGTATCGCGGTCTTTCGCTGTGTGCCGATTAATCTCATTTTGCCGTCTTTCTGCACTCTGCAGCCATCTATTCTCAGGTTCCGGCGACAGTTACCCGTTTCCCGTGCCGTGGGCCGCTCTGCGGGCAGACATTGCAATACATGACAAGCAAAAATAGGCCGTGGCAGAATGCTTTGCGCTGCAGACATAGTAACGATGCCCACGTACAAAAACTATATACCAACAGCCCAATTTCGGACGTATTACATATTGCATTGTGTGTGTTGTCACGACGGAGACGGGATGCACGGGAGGTAGCAAGTCAACAAAAGCAAGATTCAAAGAAAGAAAAACAGCCTGTAGCAAGTCATACAGCTTCAACGGAATGAGGATGAGGTAAGGGCATGGAACAATTCGAGAAGGTTCAAAGAAAGGGACAAGTCGATGCAAGAGGAATGGAAAGATAGTCAAAACCGGCTGCCAATACTTCGAAACCAGTCTCATGTCCCGCTCGTCGGACATCCTCGTGGCTATTGTAGCATTATTCCAGGAACTCGCAGCGCTCTAGCGGTACAACGGTATAACAAGATTATGCTATTGTGAAACTAGAATATAATGATATGAAAACATATATACTGCTGTACAAATATGGTGCGGCGCTCAAGTTTCCGTCTAAACAGTTGTCTGCCTGGCTGAAGAACGGTCCAGCCAGGCCGCGTGATTCGCCCTGCGGTTTGGGGCTTTGAACCTTGAGGTTTGAGGTTTGAGATGAGGTGCTAGGATCTGACGCATCTTATTGCTATAAATGGAGACGGAGATGGCATATAAATGACAGACGAAGATGGACAAGACAGGAACATGGAAGTGGCACGGTAAGCATTGAAATGACATGGGATGGAAAAGACGGGATCGGTAGACTGCCCGAGATCGCACCGATAGCAAGCCCGATCGTCGTCTATGCGTGTGTTGTATACAGTAGCATGGGCAATATGAACATATGAACATATGATATGAGCATATGAGCAATATGTCCACCAGCCCCCCAAGCAACCTTATTTTTTATTTGTCTTGTTTTGCCCCGGAAGAAGGTTCCTGGAAGAGGCCATGTCTCAAGACACCACGAAGCATGAAATCCAAAGGGTGCACAATGGATTGGACAAGGGATGGCGTACGTATTTACGACCAGATGAAACGGGGTTTGAAATTCAGAAGCAGAAGATGGGAGCATTGGCTGGTTCGAGACAGAATTTAACGAAAGGGCACAAGATCATGCAGTGGGATGTGAACCAGGGCCAAGACGTCGAAAATTTCTACGGTATACTGGAGGGCAATAGGCCGAGGAATACAGGTTAAGCGAGACGTTGGGAAATGTGCAGGAGGTCGAAGTGGTAGGAGTGAAAAGAAAGGTACCAAAATGTAAACAATTACACAGCAAAGTCATCGTCGTAACAGATCCTCTTCTCCTTCGAAATGAGTATGGAATGGAAATAGAAGGGAAATAGAAGACAATGGCAACGCCGTCGAAGGGACATGGAAAGAAAATAGAATGGCCCCCGGACTCCCCCTTTTTGAGTCCGAGGAGGCAGCGAACTATTATATTTACAGTAACAGCGACAAAGAGAATCTAAATAGCAACGAGCTCGGAGAGGCCTTCAGAGAAGCACATGTAAAGGAGGCAATAGCAAGAGGGCACAAAATTATTATAGAGGTGTAAAGGCTCTCGACGGGCGGCATCGGGAGAAAATAAAGTCCATCCACACAGCCATCGAGAAGGATAAATAGTAAACAAAGCCGGATGAAGAGATAAAGGAAGATAAACAACAATATTTGGTACTCATACAGTGACCTTGCCTTCCTCCAACAACATGCTTATATGCTTACAGGACGTCACTACTTGCCTTCACTTCGACCCGAAGAAATACCGTGTCGCAGTAAACGGTATATTGCGTCGTGAGGCACAAGAGGGAGGCCAATGGAGAACCAAAAACACGGCTAATGGTACTTTGTGTCACACGGGGACGATGGAAGTCGGAAACATGGCGTAGGACAAGGAATATGGTCATGATGAGCGTGTCCTAGTACGACCACGCTCCAGCTTCCGCTTCTCAGCGTCCCTGACTCCTCCGTGTCTCTGTACGTCTCTCCACCAACACCTCTGTTCCAACGTTTAAACGAAAGGCAGATGCTCACCGCAGCTGACCACGGAGGCAACGGAGGGTGACAGTGGCCACCTGGGGAAGCACGCGTGTCACCCTCTCTCGAGTCTGTGCTCTATTTGCGACATGCGCGCCTGTTGCATGTTTGTGCATTTCCGAATGCGCATACGCGTACGTCGTATACAGCAAAACGAGAGACAGCCGTTGCAACGCCCGTGAGACCACATACGACATACGGGGCACGAGCCGAGACGATGTGCGGACGGGCAGTGACCCAACAGCTCCCCTGGCGACACCTTCGTTTGTGCTAGGGTGTGCAACGTCGACACGCCGAGCGATGCCGAATTGTTGCACGCGGAGGATGGACAAACGAGAACGAGGAATAACGGGATATAATGAGGAATAATGAGGAATAATGAGGAAGGTTTATTTAAATAGAATAAAGCAAGAAAATATAAACAAAGTAAAAGGGTAAACCGAATGGGAAATAAACTTCGAGGGAAAAAAAAAAAAAAACAATTAAAAAAGCCGCGCTGGATGCTCCGTAGTCTTAACAAGCTCGTATCACACTGTCCTCGTTCCTCTTACAGCCGGCTCTCCACTTCTGGGACGTGCTCGGCGCCGGGGAACTGCGCCTCGGGCCAGATGCACCGGATGGCCTGCCAGATGTGGCTCACGTGGATGATTTCGAGGCCGTCCTTGACTTCCTGTGGGAGGTCGCGCACATCCTTGCGGTTCTGTGCTGGCAGCAGGACCGTCTTGACGCCTGCCCGTAGCGCACCGATCAGCTTCTCCTTGATCCCGCCGACCGCCGTGATGCGGCCGCGCAACGTAATTTCGCCCTAAAATGCACGTCAGCAGATGTCCTATGCGAACAGTCGTGTGGCTGTCGTCTGTGACCTGTGTGTGATGGAGGGCAAGGAAAAGGGACCTACCGTCATGGCGATGCTCGGTGGGACGGACCGGCCCGAGAACAGTGACACCAGCGCAACGGCTTGCGCAGCGCCGCTGCTGGGCCCGTCCTTGGGCACGGCGCCCGACGGGCAGTGCACGTGGATGCTGCGCTGCCTCATAATGTCTTCCACGGGGTCCTGCGTCAGGCCCAGCTCGAACGCGTGCGCCTTGACCCACGACAGCGCCACTTCCACGCTCTCCTTGAGCACGTCGCCCAGTTTGCCCGTCAGCTGCACGCGGCCGCTGCCCGGCATGTCCGCCACCTCGATGAACAGGATGCTGCCGTTGCCGCCCGAGCTGTAGGCCACCAGACCCGTCACCAGACCCGGCCGGCTGCTCGTTTCTGCAATCTCGTCCTCGTACTTTTCAATCCCCAGAATCTTCTCCAGGTCATCCACCGTCAGCTGCGGCCGGTACGCCTCCAGGTTGTTGCTGTCCTTGGCCTCCGCGTACTCGACCGCCTTGGCCCGGCACACCGACCCCAGCTCGCGCTCCAAGTTGCGCACGCCCGCCTCGCGCGTGTACGACTCAATCACCTTGGCCACCACCGTCTCGTCCAGCCCCACCTGCGCGTCCGTCAGTCCGTTGACCCGGATCTGCTTGGGCACCAAGTACTGCATCGCAATGTGCTTCTTCTCCAGCGTCGTGTAGCCGGGCAGGTGGATCATCTCCATGCGGTCCAGCAGCGGCGCCGGAATGGTGTCCAGGCTGTTGGCCGTCGCAATGAACAGCACGCGGCTGAGGTCGTACGGCACCGACAGGTAGTGGTCCTGGAACGTGTAATTTTGTTCCGGGTCCAGCACCTCGAGCATCGCCGCGGACGGGTCGCCGTGGTTGCTGGCCGCCCCGATCTTGTCAATCTCGTCCAACAGGATCACCGGGTTGGCCACGCCCACCTTGCGCAGGCCCTGCATAATCAGGCCCGGCATCGCCGCCACGTATGTGCGCCGGTGGCCACGGATTTCCGCTTCGTCGCGGACGCCGCCCAGCGAGATCCGGTGGAACTTGCGGCCCAGCGACGCCGCCACCGACCGCGCCAAGCTCGTCTTGCCCACGCCCGGCGGGCCCACAAGCAGCAAGATGGGCGACCGGTCCGTCATGCGACGTGCGCCGAGCGCCTTCAGCTTCTCGTCGGCCGCTTGCACTTGGGCCCGGGCGGCGGCCGCCTTGGCCTCCTGTTCCTTTTGCACGTCAGGGCTGGCATCGGCCGGGGCCTCGGGGCCGGCGTCGTTGGTCGGCGCCGCGGCCGTCGCCTTGGCCAGCTCCAGCGCGCGCTGGGCATCGCGCGTCTGCGCCTCGACGTCCTCGTTGATCGACTGCTTGAGGCGCAGCACCGCCATGTACTCGAGCAGCCGCTTCTTGACCTGCTCGAGGCCGTAGTGGTCACCGTCGAGCTGCGCGCGCGCCTTGGCCAGCGTGCCCGGGCCCAGCCGGTCGTCCGTCACCTTCGTCCACGGGATCTCGGCCAGCGTCTCCAGGTAGCTGCGAATGACGCTGTACTCTGCCTGCGCCGGCACCATCTTGCGCAGCCGCTTGAGCTCACGGTCGGCAATCTTGGCAGCGTCCGGCGGCAGCTCCGCCGCCTCAAGCTTCTTGGCCAGCTCCTCGACCTCGTCTGGCTCTTGCTGGTCGGCGCTCTGCGGGCCGCCGGGACCGCCACGGAATCCGTTTCCGCCGCCGAAGCCGCCGCCGCCGCCGCCACCTCCCATACCAGGGCCAAATACGCCGCTACCATTGCCCAGTCCGTTGGTAGGGATCAAAATGTTGAAAGGCATGCCCTGGCCGTTCTTAGGTTGCGGCAGGCTCTGCTTCAGAGGATCCCAGATGCGGGCGCCGCCGCCACCGTTGTTGTTGTTGTTGTTGTCACCGTTTCCATCCGAATCGATCGTCACTGTCGTGATCTTGACGTTGTTGCGGATGCTGCCTACCTGCCGCTCCAGCAGCTCCACCACACGCGCCACGCGCGTCTTGACGTCGACGTGCGCCAACACCTGCAGTTTCTCGTCGTACGACGCCACCACGATGTTGGTCATGAAGTCGGCCAGCACGCCGGCCTCGGCAATCGACTTGTTCAGGATGTACGCGTCCAGGCGCCGCGCCAGCAGCGGCGTGAACCGCGCATGCGGCCGGTCCGGCGCAATGATGGCGGCCACACGCAGCACCTGTGCCAGCTCGCGCGACGCCGCCTTGAGCCGCTGGAACCCTTCGTACAGCGCGGCATCGCCAATGTCGATTTCGTCGGGGCACAGCGTCACTTTGCCCTCGAAGCACGGCTGCTCCTGCGTGAACCGGTCGATGACGACGCGCGAGCGGCCTTCGACGTGCAGCGTAAACTCTCCGGCCGCACGGCCTTCAATCTTGCTGATCTTGGCCACTACACCGTAGCCGAAAAGGTCGGCCTTGGTCGTCTTGCCGGCCACAAAGCCGGGCATTTTCGTAGCACCAACACTGTTGTTGTCTTTGCTGTTCAGCAACCGCTGGCCGCGCGGGCCAACCAGCGGCGAGGCGACGGGAACGCACACCACAGGCACCTCGTTGACAGCCCGAGCGGCGCCGTCGTTTTCGGCCGGGTCCGCTGCCGCAGCACGGGCGTACATGTTCGCCAGCAGAGCCGGAATGTCCGGACGATCGGCTGTGGCCGGAATTCTCTGCAGGATGCCGGGGAACAGGATCATGCCCTTGGGCAAGGGCAGGATGGGGAGGGCAGGACTCTGGCTTCGCGCCATCTTGGGGAGATGGGAGTCGGATAGTCGATTGTCACAGAAGGCGAGTATGACAACGTTGGTCAATTGGAAGAATTAGGAAAACGAGGCCCGAGATCAGGCGGCCGAGCGAGACCGATGATACGATGATGAGAGATATCGAGACGAAGGACGGGTGCGGTCGAAAAGGCAGCAAAAGAGATGGAAGAGAAAAGTAAGTAACAAAAGAGAAAAGGATACAAAAGAGACGATGCAATGACGAAGCCGGGCGCTCGTCGGCAGTGGTGGTCGAAGCTCGTAGAAGCTCGTGATGGCGATACCAAGGCTAGCTAGCGGCATCTCCCCAGGCCACACACATGGCAGTAGTGCTCGGCTTTTGACTGCACGCACAGTGACAAAAGGCCTAGACGTGTTTCCTAGCCGAGGCATTGCAACTCTGTCCTCTGCAGCCGATAGCTGGGGAAATGACCACTGTAGCGGCATAGTGGCTAAGTGGCTAGGCCACCCGCCTATGGGGTTGCACACGCGACTTCTGGCATTAGTCAGTGGCCCACCGAAGTCCACCGCACTTGCCATTTCCAAATCCAAAGCCTCTGCCTTTGGAAAGAAGGCGCCACCAGCGACAGATCTGTCGTGGCGGAAAGTTCGACCCACTTTACGACCCCTCTACTTGCAGTCACCGGAGCACTGTGGGCTTAATTGCCCTGTCGCGTCTCGCGCTGTTTTACGCGTCGTCGCCACTTAGTTTGTCCCCTCGTCACGATCAGCACCAAAACATCACAAGCATATTATCTTTGCATCTGACTGCCTTCTGTTGATTTCGAGGTACTGGCAGGCAAATTCTGATCCTGTACTTTCCTTTTCTCTCATACATATACGGCAAAAAGCAGTCATAATGGGTGAGTATGGTTCACATACACGGCTGAACGTCAACAATCACTGACAGAAACAGCATCCTACGGAGCATACACAAAACCCGGCTACAGTGCTGATGGCGGCAACACGGGTGGTGGCTTCATGTCCGGCTCGCAGTCGGGTAGCCAAGGCGGCGGCGGCGGACGGGTATGTCATCCCTGTCTTTCTCTTCCCAGTACCCGTTCTGGCTAACACATCTCTCTCTCCTCTTTGCCAGAACTACAACGAAGACTCCCTGCGGCCCGTTACCGTGAAGCAGCTCGTCGAGACCGAAGAGGCCTATCCCGGCGCCGCAGAGTTCACCATTGACGGTGCCGCCATCACACAGCTCACCCTTGTCGGCCAGGTCCGCGCCGTCAACCCCCAGCCCACAAACGTGACCTACCGCATCGACGACGGCACCGGCTCCATTGACGTCAAGAAGTGGGTTGATGCCGACAAGAGCGAGGATGAGGCCGAGGCACCCTTTGCACTGGACCAGTACGTGCGCGTGTCTGGTCGCCTCAAGCTGTTCAACCAGAAGCGCTACGTCGCCGCGCATTTCCTGCGTGCCGTCGACGACTACAACGAGGTCAGCTACCACGCGCTGGAGAGCACGTATGTGCACCTAAGTTTGACGCGCGGCGCGCCTGGTGGTGCCAACGGCGCCAATGGCTACCACAACAAGGGTGAGGACGGCATGTTTGTCGACCAGGACGCCGGCGGTGCCAGCTACGGTGTGGGCGGTGGTGGTGGCGGCGGCGGTGGCATGGGCGGCCGCAACATGTCGGGCGACGCGCAAAAGGTGTTTAACCTACTGCGAAACATGGCCACTGGGAGCGAGGGTGTCGACATCAACGTTATGAAGAACGAGCTGCACATCAGCCTTGACGCAACCATGGCTGCCGTGCAGGAGCTGGTGGACTCGAGCGTCATCTATGCGACAACGGATGACAGCACCTTCGCGCTGTTAGAATAGAGGGCGCATTGTCGTCTTTCCATATCGGTGGCCCACGGAACAATACTGGTGGATCTTTCATGGCGTCAAAATGGGGTTATCGCTTTTCTTTTTGTCATTTTCTGTCGTGTTTCTGCATTTTTTATCTCTCTCTCCCATTTCATTCCGCCATTATCTGGAATGCTGGATAGCTGGATAAGCGGCTTGTTCACGACTATATTTGTGGTAAATAATGAATGACTTTATGGACGATACTATCTATGCTACCTGCGAAATCAGTATGACGTGATTTGTGATAGGAGACAAAGATGGAGCCAGCGGTAACAAAACGGAAACGAAACAAACAGGCCGTGAAATATGCAACAGTCTAGAGAGGCCAACGAACAATTATGAATAAGTAAGAGAAGGACAGCGAATAAAGGCAGCAAATCTTAAACAGTTGCTCAATACTGCCGTGAAGAGTCACATGAGAACAGCTACTCCTCGTCGAGTTTCGCATTAAGTACCGTCTGAGGCTCGCGGACCATGATCGACAGGCCGACTGGAGCCGGACCGCGGACAAGGGAAATGTCCCGCTTCAGCTCAAACCCGAACCGGCTGTAGTACGAATTGTTGGCAATGGAGCTCGACTCGAGATACACGGGGCGGCTTTCCTGATCAGCCTAGAGAAAGGGAGGAAACAGTGAAAGTTAGCCAAATAATTGCAAAATAATTGCAAACAAAATAAAAAGCAAGTAGGTGGGTCACCTTTACGAGCATGTGCTCGAGCAGCTTTCGGGCATAACCACGGCAGCGTGCCCCAGGCTTCGTCCCCAGATACAGCAGATAGTAGCTGTTGTCCACAACACCCCGCTGTGCCATGACCTCGACCTTGGAGTGCTCGAGTAGCGGCAGCAATTCGGCATAGTAGCGCCGGCGGCACTCGGTCGAGAGTTGGAAGTGCAGCCGCCACAGGCCACTGCGCAGGACTGTCCAAAAGCCGTCGAGGCTCTTGCCCGGTGGCATCCACAAGGCGACGCCCTCGTAGTCTGGGCCGATGGTGGTGACGACGCCGTTCAGGCAGACGGCAGCCACAATGTACGTCATGATGTCGACGTGAAGGCGCCACTTTACCTCCTCGGAGAAACCGGCCGTATCGTCGGAAGTCACGAGGTACAGAGACAGGCCGTCAGCAGCAAAGGCATGGGCCAGCGAGAGGGCGGCCTCACGGCACTCGGACATGCCAATAACACGCACGTTGGTCTCCCACTGGGCAGGGACGAGCGATAGCCGAGCAGGCATCAGTGGCAGAGAAAGAGGCAGGGGTTTACCAGTAACAGACCTGGACGAGATACTGCTACTAATCAACTTTGCCATGATGTTGCTTGCGCCCTTCTTTGTTCTTGGTTTGTCTGTGGTGTTGGTGAAGTTGTTCGTCAAAGGACACCTAGGTTTGTTAGAATAGCCGCCACGCCGTAAACCTGCGTATCATAAGTCTCAATGCCTCAGTATGAGTGGCACACTGTTCGATGACACACCGTGTTCTTTAAGCTATATTTTGTATACTGTCTCCTGTATGGACACGTGAGAGTTGTGTTCTGGAAGTAGGCATAAACCGGCCTGGGTGACGAAGACAGTTGAGGGATGTACGGAATTCAAGAGACATTCGCTTGTCGGTGGCGTAACCGTGAACGGAAGAGGATTGATAAGAAGCAGTAGGCAGTGGGCCAGAGATGAAATGCCACGGTCGGGATACGACAGGACAGCCTAAATTGTTAAGATAATTATATCGTAATGGGGGAGTCAAGCTGGCGTTCAATGTGATAAGCCTAGTTTTTAGATGGACAACTGGTGCTGTCTCAAATGGTGAAGATCAAAGTCAATTATTGTCCGATTGTTCAGAAATGTACATGAAACTTCGTATGGACTGGAGTGAGTGAGGGGAAGAAAGAAGAAAAAGGATACGGGCTCTCAACATTCGAGATGTATAGTATAAATACTACAATAGTTTTTGGTCATACGTGCTGTGAAGAGTACCTGCGGACCAAGAGGATAGTAAGAACGGGCAAATATGGAAAACGTACATAAACGCTGTGGCACCGTAGGTGTGCAAGACAGGGCGTTGGGGGCAGCATGCGTAGGTTACAGGACGTAAACAACGCTCACAACATGTTATGGTTAAGTTATCGTTGGCGAAAGGAATTAAGGTGGCACACTCTCCGGCCGACAGAAAGGCAGCAGCGAGAGGAAAGGCCAGGGAGAGGAAGGATAAAGTGGGTTGCGTGGGATGGATGCAGGTCGCTGGATGGAGGAACATGGAAAAGAGCACAAGTTGGGAAACAGTGCTGCACAAGTGGTCAGGAGGCCAAGTAGTAGCAACCGAAACGTGCACAACTCCAAAGAACAGTCTGTCATATACACATCTGCACAGGATCTCAAAACTCTCAAAACAAGACCAGACGACAACGTAGAAAGGCCAAGGTAGACAGCATCAGCAAGTCCCTTGACATCTAATGCAAAGGACATTCGGTTTCTTTGTTGCTCGGCACCTTGGAGCCTTCGTCTCACCACTTACTTTGCTCTTTGCTGGTTCGAAATCTCTTCGTTCATCCTGTCTCCTGCTCTGAACCCGTCTCCTGCAAGGCGTCCACTGTCTCGCACGTCGAGGGACGACCAAGACGATGTCATTCTGGCCAAGCGTCGGTCAGCCAAAATGGAAGCAGGTCGCGTTTGTGCTTGGGGGTCATGCAGACATTAGGGACGTGGAGAGTCCCACACGGGGAGTGAAGGGCTCCAGGACAAAGGGAATTGTGTAGAGCGTATCGCATAGCTCCTCAGGCAGACAAAATGCCAACTCCTCTGATCTCCTCCCTTCTCGGGATGTACGACGTTCTGTTGACAAACATCACCGCTTCATTGGCTCGAATAGGATCGAGTATTTCTCGCACATCCATGACGCAGCCACTCACCGCGCAACAGAGGCTTTCTGCATGTTCACGCACAGTACTCAGGTGACCTTCGGGCTGCAGTCGACTTAACCGTTTATGGTTGTCGTCTCCATCTAGTACAAGGCTCGCCCCGGCTACCCGCAGATACACGCTGAACAAATGGACAATAAGGGCCACTAGAATCAGACGGACTCGAATAAACACGCCTGAGCCAAGGACAGTATTTGGGAAGAGTCGAATATGCCCAAACTGACCAGGAAATACACGTCTGTTGCAACGTGGTTCCTCTCTTCGCAAGCCAATGCCCCCGTGCATCGTCTTACACCGTGCATGGTTTTGCCTGGCTGTATGTCTCACAAGGTTCTTCGTGTCCCGCCTATCACTTATGGTCGTTCAACGAACCCCCACCCTGCTCACGGCCTTGGCCTGACTGGCCCTGCAACTACGCCGATAACTGTGTCACCTTTTTGTACCGGAAGTCAACCAGGGTCCATACGAGTAAGAAGGTTCTTGCACGCGACACAACATAGTATCCCGAACTGCAAATCTCCCAGTCTGAGACAGGTATTTTGACATGAAAAACTAGGTTCCGTATATTATGCTGCCTCCACCCGGTAATGGGCATCGAGTGTCGGCATGGTTCTCTGCTATGCTATGCTACGTCGACTCTACTACGTTCGCTTGTTCGAGACCATCCTTCTTTCACGCCTTGCGCCTTTTCCTTGGCACACGCTCCTGGTCAATCGCCTACATGCGCCGAATCTCCTGCTCATTCAGGTACTTGTCGAGGCCCGAATCTAAGTGCTTCCACCACTCAAAGAGCATCGAGTCGCAGATGAGCTTAAACCACGGCGTGAACTTGAGCTTGGGATCCTGGAACTGCGCCTTGAGCTCGTCAGGGAGCACGTAGCTCGTGGCCTGCACCTCGTTTTTGTTGACATTGAGGTCGACATTGGCCTTGATGAACAGAATGTAGTCAACTGCGGCAGGTTAGCCTTGGTCACAAAATTGTTTCCGTCCACCTCGAGGGAGACTCACTCTCGTGCTCGCCCCATTTACCGTTGCTGGCCGCCTTGTAGTGTATGCGGGTCAGGAAGCGGAAGTTCTCGATCGGCACCTGTTCCTTCTTGATGCCAAGCTCGTGCTCCAGCTTGCGCTGCGCCGCACGCTTGGCACCCTCGATGGACTCGGGCAGCGTCGAGCCCGTCTCGGTCGACACAGACAGCGGGTGCGAACAGCACGTGTTGGTCCACATGTCGGGGAACGTGATTTTTTCGGATGCGCGCTGCTGAAGCAGCAGCTTGTTGTCCTCGTTGAAGAGGAAGACTGAGAAGGCGCGGTGCAGCAGGCCCCGGTCAATGTTGGTCATCAGGTGGCCTGTCGATATCGGTTAGCCCAGCATTCTGTGTTACGCTCTCCGTCTCTCTGTGCGAACTGTTCTTGGCTCCCGATGCCCCCAATGTCCTTCGCACTTACAAACTTTCTTGCTGGCTTTGCCGATAGGGAGGTCGTTCTCGTCAAGCACGATACAAGACTCGTCCATGAGACGGATCTGCTCCTCATCGTGGCCCTCCAGAGCCTCCCCGCTCGTGTCGATGTCAGGGAACAGGCGCAGGATGTTGTCGGCCGTGATGGGCTCGTTGTCCGTGGTGGTCGCGGTCGTAGTGGTCGACATGGTGGAGGTAAATAGAGTCAACGTCCTAAAAAATCGAAGCTGTCCAGGTCGTTTGTTGAGGACAAGAGGCGCGAACGGGCGCAGACTGGAAATGTGCGATATGGCGGCGCGGGTGCAAAATGCGGTGGCGACTTTCGTACTCTGGCGTAGAAAGAGCATACGGCACGAACTTGCCAAATGCGGAGGTAAGGTCACGCAAGGAAGCTAGGAGACGGGAAGGTGCGTTCGAGTCCAGATCAGACGAGAAAGAAGCTGGCGTTGTTCTGCCTCTCTAGATGCTTTGGGCGAAATGGAAAGGAGAATGAGAATGGGTGAATGCAGGTGCTACCCTGTTTAATGTTATTATCTGGGTCACAATTAATTGGCCTGGGCCCCTCTAACGAGACTAGACAGAGCAGGAACGACCCCCCCATTGGCCAATTACAGGGCCGGCGAGGGAAAGAGTGGGAACATGGTCTTGACGTAGCGCAAGGCAAGACTCTAGCGCCCCGCCGTGCCCCTGTAAGACTCCCCAGTCGCTGGGCAAAATTGTTCTCTAGCGGTTGGTCAACAGGCGCCGAACAACGGCGGTCAGGCACGGCAAAACATCTCTCACCGCCAAATTTTCTTTTGGCAGGTCCGATTCTGCCAGTTTTGACGATTTCTGCCAGTAATTTACTTGGCCTCGATACGACTCTCCAACGGCAGTCTGACGGCCCAACAACCGGACGATCAACAGACCCTCGACCACCGCAACTCAATGGCGAAGCGACGACCGTATGCGCCGGACGGCGAGGCACCGCGAAAACGTCCACGGGTTGTCCATGAGCCACCTACCTTTGAGGAGATTGCGTCGGCGCGGCAGCTAATGCAGCTCCTCGCATTTGACCAAGACCTACAAAAAGCTCGCCATGGTGAGTGTCTTTCCTTGCCATCGTGCTCTCTTTCCAGCTCGTGTCTAACCTGTCGACCTAGGACTTCAATCTTTCAAGGTTCTCCTGGACAAGCTGAATGACCCCGACCACAAGAACCCGGACGATGCAGCCCTGCTCCGGAGCTACCTCATATCCACACGACCACGGAACGACAATGCCGGTGCCGATGACGACGAGGGTGAGACCGACCCCTTGTTCCTGCCAGACATTATGGATACATGGGAGTTCGCTGCAAGGATGAACAACGACAACGTCATGTCCTCTGTGCCCGTAGTATTGGCTCTCTTGATCCGCTATTTGTCGCATGTGCTGGACATGGCGCCGATTTGTCTCGGCATCTGCCGCACGTTGCTGCGCCGCCGTCAACTGGAGCTGATTGCCCGCAACCTGTCGGCAGATAAGGGCAAAGAGTTTGTCATCTCGCCGACGCTGCGGATGCTACGCGAAGCCATTACGTTTGACGGGGGCGCCATTGCACGGCCGCTCTTCCGCGCACGCAATTTTACGTACCGGTCGCTCGCACGCAATATGAGCATCAAGTTCCTCGGCGAGGGCGTGGAGGATGTCAAGCGTACGTCGGCGCGCACGAATGCAGTGCGCTTCTTCCTGGCCTCTCTCGCGTTTCTGCATCCCGAGGCCAAGGCCGAGCTGCTGTCTCAGCGCGAGGTGGTGGGCAGTCTGACCAAGACCATCAAGGACGATCCGCCGTACCTGGTATATGACATACTCAGCACGCTCCGTGAGCACGTCCTCAAGGACAAGAAACTGCCGCGATCCGCGCGGATCAAGATGTTCAATGCGGCTACACTGATCCGCCTTGCCGGCCTGTACACTTATGCCCACGACGGCATAGCAGGAGCGAAACGCGATGATTCCAGCCACCCGAACAAGCTCTCGGTCTCCGACACAGCACACCAACTCTTACTCCACGTCTGCACATCCTCAAACATCGGTGTCTTGCGCGATCAGACCGGCTACTACCCCCAAGGTGTTGAGCCAAATGCGGGTGCCGCAACTGCCACGGCAAGCACAGTGTCGTCCTCATCCAACCGCGAGCCTGATGAGGATCTTCAGCTGGATGCTGGTCTGGACCGCATCGTCTGGATGGACAAATTTGCCGACGAGGTGCCCGTGTTCAACTTTGCTCTCGCCGACCTTCTGCCGAACCTGCGGCCGTGGTCGAGCACGCGGCAGAGCGAGTTGCTCATCTCCATCTTCCAGGCAGCACCGGAACTCGTCGCGTGGTACTACATCGAGCGCAAGAACTTCACGTTTGAGCCTAAGATATCGGCGACGTGGGTGGGTTACGCCGCGATGCTCTTCAATACCATCCTCGTCGAAATCCCCGACTGCTTTGGCCACAAATCGGCCTACGCCCGTGTTCCACCTCCGACGTCCGTCACTGTGGACAATATCCTCCCCCGGCCCCTGTCGCAAAAGATTCTGAGCCGGTGCTTAACTCACAAATCCAAGCTGATTCCCTTCTTTGCCATCCGCCTCCTTGCCGTGTCCATGGAGAAGCTGCGGTCGGCGCTGCGTATGCACCGTGAGGCCGCGCAAAAACACCCGCTCGAGTCGCTGTGGAAGGAGTCGGAGCGGCGGGTGATTGACGAGTTCTGCCGGCGGTGTCCGCCCATGAAGGAGGTAATCAATGCCTACCGTGCAGCCGCGGACAGCGATCCGCTGTACCGCGAGGCCGCTAGCCGCGTTTTGCGCTTGTACTACGAGGTCGTGCCGCAGGTGGCACTTACCTCCAAGTTTGACGTATCCTCCTACCTCTTTGCCGTGATCCGGCAGGTCGACGGGCACAAGGGCTCAGCCGAGGACAAGGTCGTCAAGCTAATGGAGCTGGAGAATCTACTAACTATTGCCGGCTACTCCCCCGGCATGCAGTGGTTCTCCAAGGCCAAGGGCCTGGCCGCGTCCCCATTTTCAGCGTTGCTCAAGGTGTACACTGAGGCCACGGGCGACCTAGCGCTGGACAAGATTCGGGACGTGCTGGACTTTGTGGCACGAGAACAGCAACTGCTTTTGTCGGAGCCAGCAGACCAGGCGCGCGCCACCTCGGTAGGCCTGGCCGCTCTCGTCGGCAGTTTAAAGCCCCGTGGAGAGGGCGGCGACGGCGCAGACGCAGACAACGAGAAGCGCTCGCTGCTGACCGACCCCGTCTGGGCGTTTGTGGACAACTGCGTTGTTCGCTGCGCCAACGGCCCGATCAAGTACATTGAGATGATGTACGAGCTCACGGATGGCGTTCCGGCGTTCGACCCTATCACCATGGCCATTGCCGAGCAGATGAAGTTTGTGGTTGTCAACGCAGATCCCGAGACGAGCAGACAGCTGGCCCAGTTCCTGCGGTATTATCTACAGCTCTGTCGTGGCGACGAAGCAGACCTGGTACCTATTTGGGCCATGGTCGTGAATGACATGAAGCGGGTTTCAAAGGCGCCAGTCCACCTCGAAGAGACGCTGCGAAAACCCATCCCCAGCTCCGTAGTAAACCAGGCGAAAATATTATCCAAATTCAAGAAATCATCCAAACGGACGGGCGCAGGAAACCAGATCAGCAACAGCAACGACAAGGCTGACGAGGGGACAAGTAACTTATTCAATGAGCGCTCGCTTGAGGGCCTGCTCGATATCACACCCCCCCGCGCCTTTGACTCGTCGGCTCTCTCCAAGTGGGCGACGCGACCGGCAGACGACTTGGTGGACGACGGCCACGCAGCCGCCGTCATTGGCCTGCTCATGGCGGACGACGCCACCGTGCGGCGGGCAGCCCTGGTCAACCTGACCAACATGGCTGCCAGGATCCGCGAATCGACGTACGACGAGAAAGACCAGGTGTGGCTTCTCCTGTCGGAGCTCATCGAGTCGACAAAAGGGTGGATGACCGACAAGGACACGGCCGACCGGCCCGTGCCCAGCCACATTGTGTCCTTTGCCTGCCACGCGCTCGACGTACTGCGCAACCCGCTGCACTGCCTCTACGCCAAGGTCAACACATTCCTGACGGCGGGCCCCGTCTGGCGTATGCGCGCCTTCCCGCTCGTCAACGACATCGTCCACGACGGCCCCTCCGAGGACGACTCGTACTATGCGGAGATCAGCTGGCTGCTGTCGTACTTGCTTGACAGCCTTCGCACGCCCGCCGACATTGAATTATTCCGGTCGCGCCGTCTGTTCGAAGCCATTTTGTCCGTCGCGTCAAACCCATACATGCGCATCCCACTGCGTCGCCAGATACTGCGCATTGTGTGCCGCGTGTCCGATATTGCGGGCGGCAGCACAACGCTTATCACGCGGTCCGGCATTGTGAGTTGGCTGACGGCCCTGGAGGCCACGCAGGCTACGGCGAGCAGTAACAACCGCCAACAGCCGACCAACCGCACATATGGTGTCCCAGCCGGCGTCGAGATGCCGGACGAAGGCGACGAGGCACGCATCGTCCCGGCGCTGTTGAAGCGGCTATGGGACTCGTGCGACCATGACCGGGTCGAACAGTGGAGCGTGCACGGAGTCCAAGAAAGCATTGGGGTGTAGGATCCGCACAAGTCGTGGTCTGAAAGAGATAGGAGAATTAATTGGTCTCAAAGGAGTTGTTTACTATTGTATTTGCGTTTGAGGGCATATGTCAAGCGATTTATTGTACATCATTGAATAGAGGAACAGGTGGGACTTTTGTACCAAATTAAGGAAGATGAGAGAATATTTTACTCGAACTATCAGAGCACATACCAAAACACAGGTCTCGGGGTCGGCCCCAAACCCTTTGAAAAATAACGAACAAAGGGCCATGATACTTAGCTTCATAGATTGTCCTCATTGAAGCCTAGGCAAGCGAATGGAGCAAAGACGACCCACTGTGTGCCGTATTAGCGGCCCCTTTCACACCTATCAGTGCCCCGTGGCGCACGTGACGGTGCCCCAAAGGCGAATCAGAGCACGGCCCTCATCAGTGCCTCCCTACTTCAGGCTGGGGCGCCTTCTGTTTTGCACATCTCATGACAGCCACACGCAAAGACACACAAAACACTCGCAAACATCAAACAAACCCTCGCAGCCAACGTCCACACAACAACTGCACAAACTCCAAAGCTCACCCAAACTCACGCACCAGATCCGAATTATCGTATCGGCTCTTCCAGAACGGCGCTTTCGCACGCATCGCTTCAATTGCAGCGCCTACCGCGGCCCCTTCGCGACGCCCTCGAAGCCTCAATTCTCTCTGCGTTTTGCATCGTCGAGTCTGTCGAAGCTGATCGGGGCCTGACAGCGAGCTAAGCTTTCGATTCGTGGCCTGCCTTCGACCTCGCGACCGGGCGTGGTGCCTCACCGGCGTCCATTTCCGAAGCGACACCGCTCCAGTCCAGGTTTTTCGAGACCTGCCAACGACCAAACTTGCCATCGCTGATTTGCGTCTTTCGTTGTTTATTTTCTCGACTCCCCGTTCTCATTTTCTACCTCTGTCTCCTGCATTGGGCCTCGTATACTGAGCATCGTCTACGTTTCCGACGTTTCGATCTTCTCTGGCCTCACGGCCTCGTCTCGTGGCATCCCGAAAGCTCTACGACCGTCCCCGCCCCTTTCTCGGTTCTCTCACCTCGTCAGGTTTCGAAACCTGCAGATCTTTTTCCCCCCGGCAGCTCGAGACTTCTCAGCTGTCCCGTGCTTGATTTCTTTTCCTCTCTGTTATTTCTTTCGCGTCACTCTAGCCGAATGTTCGGTACCCCGCGACCGTGACCATGGCTTCTCGATATACCGCAGAGGCATTGCTCCAGCTTCGCCAATCTCCATTATGTGTCAAGCCGCCCGGCCTGCCACCCGCAGACCAATGGATGGGGTATGGTCCTCGTTCTTCCTTTATGCATCTTCTTGTCAAGGTCCTTCTTGCTAACTCGGCTACATCGTAGACCAGTTCCAGACCCCAACACTCGCGCCCAAACAACAGGCAACCGCCCATTAACTTCAGACCGCGTCAAGTCCAATGAGGGCACCTTCTCCCTCGACCCGGCAAGCCGGCGCCAGACCGGCGACCGGCACAATCCCCGCAACCTCTCCAGTACGCCTATCATGTTCTGCGTCGTGTGCTTTGCCCTCAAAACCCCCCCGCTGACCCGTCTCTTGCGCTCACGCTCTACTAGACTCTGAAGACATCGTACTCCGCCCCCCTAAAATGAATTTCTCCTCGGCCTCCTCTATCCGTACCCTCGGGAACAAGACCGACGGTGACAGTAAACCGTTCCGGGACTCGGACAGCCGCGACCGCTTTGGTGGACACACGCGTGGCGACCAGTCCGAAGCCTCGTCTAGTTTTCTCAATACGAGCAACTTTGGCGGCGGAAACCCTCGCGGCTCCAACACGCGCGAACCTCGCAACCCCGAGTACCGTCGCCGTGGCGACGCCGATCAAGACAATGACGGTTGGAGCACGGTGAAACCGCGTAAGAGCTTTGGCCACGATGGTGCCGAGCGGTTCCACAGCCGCATGCACAACGGTGGAAGCGGAGGCGCTGGGGTGGGCAGTAGTGGCGGTGGAGGTGGAGGCCTGGATCGATACGGCCGCGACGACCGTAAGCCGAGGGACCGGGACGACAACGACGTCTCAGGACGCGACCGTCCACGCCGCACGTTTGACCGCGACGGGGCCGACGATAACAACGATGGCGCTCGCCGCAACGGTCTTCCAGGTCGCACGCCGTGGAGTAGCAGCAGCAGCAACAACAACAACAACAACAACAACAACAACAACAGCGATGACAGGGGACATAACGACCGTAACGACCGTACAGGGCAGCGGGACCGCCTCGATCGGACCCGGAACTGGCGCGAGCGTGACCCCGACAACCAACCCAGCGATAGCTTCCGCGACAACAGGAATCATGACCGGAACGATCGAAACGATCGCAACGACCGCTCTGACCGTGGCGGGTACGACCGTCGCTGGGACCGGGACCGGGACCGGGATCGGGACTACTTCAATAACCAGCGTGTGGAGCGCGACCCTGAATGGATGGACGAAGATGCTGCATTTGCCGACGATGTGCCAACTGGCGGTGGAGGCGGCAGTGGTGGAGACCTCGGTGATCTCGCCGACTTTGGCGGTGGTGGTGGCGGCGGCGGCCGCCACACGGCAGAAGATCTGCGTAAATTTATGGCCGCAATGAAAGTCCGTGATGGCGGCGGCCAGAAGAATCCGGACGAACCATCGTCGTCTTCGGCAGCCAACGACGGAAAGAAAACGTGGAAAACCGAGCCAGCGTCGGCTCCAGTTGTGGACCCTGGCCGCGACCGCTTTTTTGAGCAATTCTCCAAGTCGACCAAGACCGACGACAACAGACCTTCCGACGCCGATGCGGCGGCAACCAACAAGCACAAAGTGAACAAGGCATCGAAGTTTACCTCGTTCTTCTCATCGCAGAGCCAGACCGAGCCGCCAACGCCCGCCGCTGCACCGCAACCTGCTGCGGCCCAGCCGCCCTCGCAAGGTGGTGGTGGTGTTGGCGGCGTTGGCCTCGGCGCGGGCGACGGCGACGGCGCCGGTGGGGGTGGTGGTGGTAGCGCAAACTTGCTTGCCGCACTGACAGCGCCTGCACAGCCGCCCAATGCCGCTGAGAAGGAGGCTTTCCAGGTCCTGCTGCAGAAGCTGCATCGTCACACTGGCGGTAGTGCTGGTAGCTCCACAACATCGCCTGCTGCTGCAGCCGGCATCAGTATTGGGACCATTCCGGGACCCAGCAACAATCCAACACCACCTGGTGCTGGTCTCGCCTTCCAGGAATCGCCAAGCTCGGCCTCGAACCCGTCTCTCCTCCGGGACGGCCGCCAGCGGAGTGGTCTCACTTCCCCTGACCCTCCCTTTCCACAGGGTCAGCCTGGCCAGCCTGGTCAGCCCCATCCTGGCGCGGACCGGCATAGTGATCCCCGCTTCTTAGGCGGTTCGCCACAGGTTGGGCCTCAACAGAGCCTGCAAGAGCTCTTGATGCAGCGCCAGCAACCCATGGCTAGCCAGTCTCCTTCGGGGTCAGCTCGCCCTGAACAGATGCTTCAGGAACTCTTGTTCATGCGCCAGCAGCAGGCAGCCAGCCAGGACGGCCATCCTCGCACGGGCCCACCAACCGGCGGCCCTGGCGGATCTGGGCCAAGCATGGGCACACCAAACTCTCAGACCGAGTTCCTCATGAAGCTTATGCAGAGCGGTGGGCCCAGCCCGCGCAGAAACGAGGATTCCATAATGCGCATGCCGCAGCCGCAAAAGCAGGTTAACATCCCATCAGTTCCGGACCGCGAGGCCGAAATGGCCGACTTTGCACGCGAGCGCGAACGGCTCGCCATCCAGCGCCAGCAGCAACAGGACCAGCAGCAGCAGCAGCAGCAGCAGCAGCAGCCGCAACAACAGCAAATGCGTCCTCCTCAGGGAATGCCGGGAATGTTTGCCGATGAGCAGTTCCATCGCCAGGAGGCCGAGGGTAGGCCACCTCAACGGCCAACTCAGATTCTCCAGCGGCCCCCGCCGCCAGGTCTCGAGCATAATATGCACGGGCCTCTTCCGCCGTTCTTGCAACAACAGGCTAGTGGTCGTGCTGATGGTGGTGGTGGTGGTGGAGGCGGCCGCCTGCCTCCTCCGCAAGGCCCGCCTCAGCAGCAACAGCAACAGCAACAGCAACAGCAAGGGCCGCAGCAGCCCATGATTCCACCTCCTGGCCTAAGCGCGAACCACCCCAACAACCCGCAGAACCGGGCCATGCCGAACATGCCCAACATGCCAAACATGCCCAATATGCCCAATATACAGGGTATGCCGGGCATGCCCAACATGCAGCATATGCCACCAAACATGCCGCTGAATCTGCCGCCCAACCTGCCTCCGAATATGCCCCCGAACATGCCGCCCAATATGCCACCCTCTATGCTGAACATGCCGCCCAACATGATAAACATGCCTCCCAATATGGCCGGCATGTTCCCGCCGCCGAACTTCTCGCCATCGGGGCCGTTCCCGCCGGACGGCATTCCCTCGGGCCAACCCCGCAACATCCCGCCGCCGCCACCAGGCTTCTTTAACCAGGCTCCGGGGCCAGGTGGCTTCATGCCGCCACCTGGCATGAACTTCCAGGGGCCACCCCCCGACGGTGTACCGTTCCCTTTTAACGATGGCCGCGGCATACCACCACCGCCTCATGGAATCGGTTACAGAAGGTCATAGAGCTCCCCTTGTTAATGAACCGCGCGTGTGTGTTTATGTACTCTGTGGCAAGATTTGGGGCTTGGGGCAAGCACGCAATGTCAGGGATTGAGTTTTTGAAACCTTTTATTTATCTGGTCGCCTTGCGTCAAAATCACTCGTGTGCGTGTAAAGTGCGACAATAAGAAAGGGGTCCCGTAAATACACATAATGGGACGCCATGAGGAAGTCGTCGAGGCAAAGAGCTTCTCAATTCTACCACTATGCAAAGTCCATCGGTCAGCAAATGTTAGCGAATGGATGAAGATGAAATAATCACGAGAAATATAAAACTGGCGGCGCCTGATGATAATTTTGCATCCGTGATGTGTCTTAAGTATACCATATTCGACATGTTACTTCGTGAAAACAGACCAACAATCAGGAACAATAGAAAGCATCGTTGTCTCGTTATGCGATTAGTACATTGGTACTTCTTGGCTTGTATTCGATTCGTTAATTTCACAGTATTAATTAATAATTATATGCTCTTAGAAAGTGCATATTTGTAATAAGTAAAAGCTATCTCCTTGGAAAATGTATCATGTCGTGGAAAAGAAAGGACATGTATGTGCATGATACAAAAGAGCCACAGAATTTTTGGAACCTGGTATTCAAATTTATTAGATCGTGGCGTGTTTTGTATTTGCTAGTTACCACGTTACAAAGGAACAATGTCAGGAAAACAAAAGCAAAGCAGCCGCCAGTTCGACGTAATGTCATAAGTGCCTAGCTTTTGAGTCTTCTGTCTCTGCTTGTTTTTATTTCTTCAAGCCGAAAATGTTTCGTTTCTTCTTGTCCTTGTCGGCCTTGTGCAGCTTTCCGTCGGAACCACCGCTCGCGGCCACGGATGGTGCTGGGGTCCGGCCCACACCGGCACCACCGCCACTGCTGAGCGTCATGGCGCCCATCTGCTGGACAGGCGGGCGAGGTCCACTAGGAATACCCCCGACACCGGCACCACCCACCTGCCGGCGGCCAGTTGCAGCACCACCAGGCGCAGGTCGTTGGCCCTGCGCCGGCGCCTGTTGCTGAGGTGGCGGCGTCGGTGCCTCCCGCTCAAACAAGTGGGCCGGTGCCTTGGGCTTCGGACGGCTCAACGGGATATCGAGCTGCCGGGGGTTGGCCGACAGGTCGCCTATTTGGCGGCAGAACAAATGTGGCGTCAGCATATGGCTGGTTGCCAAGACAATGTCGCGGTTGTGCTTGGCTGACGCCTCGTAGCATGCGCGTGCTTCGGAAAATGTCGCACCGCCGGCCACATAGACAAAGATGCGCTGGCGGTTGTCAGGTACACGGCGGTTCGCATCGGCCCAGCTAGGCTTAGCAGCGCGTAGAGAATTCTGGGCTAGCATGGCGTCTCCGTTGGGATCGAGTGGCGGGTTGACGTAGGGAAAGACGAGTGGATCTAGTTGTCCTCGACACAAGTTGTCCAGTAGTGTGCGGAGCGTAGGGTGGAAGCGGGAGAGGGAGTACTCTTCTTCGTTGCCGTTTTGTGCCGGTCCTTTAGGATCCGGCGGGAAGACGGGCGGTTGTGGCTGTACGGTCTCCTTCAGTCCACGCACTGGACGTCCGCCGAGTAGTTCCAGGTTTACAATCGTGTTGAAGAGAGACTTGGGTAGGTTCGAGTGGGCGAGCAGGCGGTTTATGTCCTCTGGGATGACACCGTTGCGGTAGAGAACATACAGCATGATGAGACGCAGGCGATCCTCCGTCGTGATGGACTCATCATCGAGCAGTCGAGCCACCTGGTCCAGGATGTTGCGCGGCTTGCGGTAATCCTCGTCCAGCCCCGTTGCCAGTGTCTGCTCAGCTGATGCGACGTCTGGCAGCTTGTTGTTCTGAAACTTGTTCATGCACTCTTGCGCCATTGTAAGATGTAGAGAATACGCCTCCTTCATCTCCTGGAACTGGGGGAGACCAGCCAACATGTCCCTGATGGCGTTGAGGTTGGTTGCGTCGCCCTTGTCGTTTGTAAAGTGCGGGTTCTGGTCGAGGAACTTCTGGAAGTCGCCCATCAATTTGTCAATAGTGTCCTTCATGTGCCGGTGGCGGTTGTCGACCCAGACAGTATCCTTCTCCTGCAGCTCCATATCTTTCTCCTCTTGACCTGCCTCGCCCTCGTTGAAGGTGACATGAAATGTCGTCTTGTCGCCATCTTTGATGGGTAGCAGGTCGTGGGCCATGGCCTGGTATGTGAATTCGTGGACGAGAGGGGCCATAATATCCATAGACCGGTCAGTGATGACGAGAATGCCGGGTGGCCGGTTGGTTTGTGGCGGGAAGTCGCGGTTCCATCGGGCATAGTCGTCGAGCTGCTGCTGAACGAAGCGCGCCAAGTGCGTGCACAGAACACTGGCCTCGTGTATCGGGTTCTTTGGCCGGTAGTATCGCACTTTCGGGTATTCGCCTGCTGCTATACAAACACTGGCAATCTTTTGTGCCAGATCCTCCATATGTTGCCGTACAAGGTCGTTGCAGCCGGGGTGGAAGAGGATGGGGAAGCTCCAGGGGTCACGGAAGGTGACGAGGTGGGACTCGCGCGGGAAGAAGTCGATGGAGAGGACGTCGAAACCGGCAATTTGTTGGCGGGCGGCGGGCGCGCCGTCGATGCGCTGTTGCAGCTTGGGATCCAGGACGCTCGTCCACACCAAAAACGCCCGACGGTATCGTTTGCGATCCAGGTCGGCCAGCAGGCAGTCTACGATGTGGGGTTGCGGTGAGAGGATGTAGATGGCGTCCATGGTGGGATTCATCTCGCGGCGCTCCTCGATGAGCTCAATGTCTGTTTTGGATCTGTTAGCGGCCGCGCAGTCGTCTCTTTCTTACCCGATTTTCTAGACTGGGGTAGATGTACTGGCAATGTTCTTGTTGAGGATGTCATCTTCCTTGACGACATTGTAAATGATCTTTTTGCTCGTCTCATCGAGCACAAGTACCTTCCACTGTTATAAGGGTTCCCATGTGTTAGCAAAGCCGGTCACACAAAGTCCTAAATCAAGCCCGCTGGTCGGCATGGCCGACGTTGAATCAAGAGGTATTTGACAAGGCCGGCGAAGGTATTTTGTGTGGGGGGGGGAGGTTGCTCACGTCGCCTCTTGTTATATTCTCGATTGTGTCTATTATCACTGTTTGTGGGAGACAGCATTAGTGTTGGGTCGACGTAAGAAAGAGTAAAGAAGACTGCGCACCTTGCTCCTGTATCTGGATAATAGAGATACCCATCTTGAGCAGTTGGGCGGCGCGCAACGACGCGGCGTTCAAGTCGGTGAGACGAGCTGGACAGAGCTTGAGGGAGAAGGCAGTTGCGTCGAGGCAAAACAGAGAAAGGCGCTCTAAGAAGAGATTCGAGACGGTGTGGTCCAAACACGCGCTTCTGGATTAAGAGGCAATTCAAGAGGGGACGTTGTGCAATCGTTGGCGGTGAAGGATGGGTTGGAACACGGGTGCAGCGAAGGACGAAGGGAGCAAAGGGGGTTCAGAAACGGCCAATTCGAAGGTCGCAGAGAGAAGAGGTGTAAGGAGAATACGACGCAACGAAAAACGCAAATCGCGGCTTAGACGGGTGGCAGATGAGAGGTTTCGGTTTTGAGTTTGCGAGAAGCTTATGTTGAGCGGGGCGCGGTTTCAAGACTGCCTGAAGACTGGGAAGTTGCGCTGGCACAGCAGGAAGGAGAGGGGTGGTTTGTGTGCAGACGGAAAGCGGGAAGCGGAAGGCGCGCGACGATAGGGAAGGAACAGACCAGGCCCAGAGTGGTTTCCTGTTTTAGGTTTAGCGGGGCAAGCTTTACTGGGGGAAGGAGGCTGATGACGCTGGTCTGGTCCTCACCTGCTACAAGCATAAAATCCAGGGAGGAAGGGTGGAATTGGGGAGTGGAGCATGTGACATCAACCAAAAGCTGCCTCTTGGGGAAAGAGGGGGCGACACAGCCAATGACGGTGATGCATAACTTATACACGATAGGCAGGATGCTCTTAAGACAAGGAGGAAGAAAATGGTCAAAGTTGATGAAACTGCATCGCTCAAATGCTGAGAGTACGCTATTATATGACAACCTTTAAAAGTCCAAAAACAGAAATAACGACAGAAATATCAGCAAACCGAAAAAAAACCATTATTACGACAAACACTGATGTGTGCTGACGCCGTTTGGCCATCCAAATACAAAGGAAGCTCCAATCCCGGCGGCATCTCATACTTTAAAGCATCGCTGCCACAATCACCTAACCAGACAGATTCCGCTGCTCGGCTTCCTCCACCGCACGGTGCCAGTTGTAGCTGTACAGGTAGGCGTACTCGGCAACCGTGACAAGGAAAAGACCAATACCGACACCGGCCCACAGACCGCGAAGCCCCCAGCCGAGAGAAAACGCCGTGGCGAACGAGATTGGTAAAGCCACAATGTAGTAGGCAGCCAGGTTGGCATAGCTGCCGATCTCTTGGCGGCCAACACCACGCAGGAGAGAGCTGGCCACGCACGCTGTGCCGTCAAAGATCTGGAGGACAGCGACGACGGGGGTGGCTTGAGCCACAAGCTCAATGACATCCGGGTCGCTGGTAAAGAGACGGGGGACTTGGTAGCGGAAGGCAAAGACCCACAGACAGTTGAAGAGACCGAGGCCCACGCCGGCAGCGGTCGCCACATTAGCACATGTCTTGGCTGCGATGGGCAGCTTGGCGCCGATGAGGTTGGCAATGCGCGTGGACGCGGCCACGGACATGGGGAAGGGCAGCTGGTAGGTGGTAGATGTGAGCGTGACAAGAATACTCTGGGCGGCCAGCGTGGTGGAGCCAAAGCGGCCAGCGCCGAGGGTCAGGATTTCAAAGGCAAAGAATTCGGCCTCCACCATGATCATGCCCGGCAGAGCCAGCTTGATCATAGGACCCCAGTTGGAGAAAATGCGCCACGTGAATCCGCCCCAGCACTGCGCGCCATCGACAAAGTAGACGTAGAGGAACAAGAGCAGGGGCATAGTCCATTGCGTGATTACAGCGCTGATAGGGGCGCCAATGAAGCCCAGCTGAAGTTGCCACACGAACAGCCAGTTGAGGAAGATGTTCATGGGCGCCGCAATCAGCAGCACATATGTGTTGGCCGTGAACAGGCCCTGGGCCTGCATGTACCGCTTGGAGCACTCGAAAACGGCGCTGGCGGGCATGCTGATGACCAGGACGCGCAGGTACAGGCCGGCAAGAGCAGCAATCTCCCGCTCCGGAACCAGAGACACAAGAATCTCCTCTGAGAAGAACCAGATGCCAGCGAGCGGGACGCAAAGAATAAGAAGGAAGCAGCACATGCGCTGCAGCTGCAAACCAACGAGGAACTTGTGGCCCGAGCCGTAGGCCTGAGAACAGAGCGTGTCGAGACATGTGGCGAGGCCCTGGCAGGGCGCGTAGAACGTGATGCTGGCGGTCATTGCGGCAACTGGTTTAGGACTGGTCAGTATACAAACGTTATTTTGATGGATGATGTCGGGAGACAGGATAGCCAAGGGCACAACAAAACGTACGACTGACGGCTCCCAACTCAGCCTTGCCAATGTGGCCGACGGCAAAGACACCTGTAATGTTGATGGAATATTGGAGCAAAAATGTGATGATGAGGGACCGCGAGTACACGGCAATCGTCTTGGCTTCGCGCTGCCACGTGGTATGGATCTGGCCGGCGGCCACAGCGGCATTCCATTGCTCGTCCAGGTGGGGCCCCGTTTCGGAACCGTCGAACTCGGGTGCTGACGGCGCAGTACCGAGCAGTGCTGTCCGCTCATCCGGCAGGCCACCGGCACCGTCTCCCCGTAGCCGCCGCTCCTCCTCGGCCGTGTCCTTTGGCCGACGCGTGCTGAAGACGCTCTTGTACACACGGGTGAACAAACCTGGCTCGCGGCCGTCTGCACCAGCGGCTGTAGAGCTGGATCCTGCGTGACCCGGGCCCGCGGCTGCCGAGATGTGCTTGGGTGGCAGCAGGTGGTTGTCACGGAGGAGGCTGCGTTCCGCCTCGCGAGACTTGAGCTTCTCGACCTTGCTCAGAGCTGGGCCGCTTGCAGGAGCCACACCGAGGACGGGGCGAGTGTTTCCATACGCGATGGCACTGGGTCGGCGGTAGAGGTACGGTCCCTTGGAACCGGGGCCGTCGATATCAGAGTCGGTGTCAATATCATCCTGGCTGCCGTCGGCGTAGGGGACAATGCCGGCCGAGTGGTACGAGGCGGGGGCCAAGGCAGCTGCGCGGTTCTCAGCCTCGATTTCGGACGGACTTAGCTCAGCGATGTCGCGGGCGAGCACTTCCTGGGCCAATGGCGAGGGATCGGCCAGGGAGGCAGCAAAAGACGAGGCGAGGCCGGCAATGGACTCCTGGTGGCCGCCAGTTGTCGGCGAGCCGGTTGGTATCGACCGACTGGGTGTCATTGTGTAGCGAGGGGGGGAGGGGTTGTAGTAAATAAGTTGAAGAAGAGCAACAATGACTGCGAGGAAAGGGAGGGGGAAAGAAGAGGGTAAATGTCCGATGAGCTCCGTCAACTGTATTCCAAGCAGTAGAGATCGAGGTCATGAGAGGAAGAAAAAAAGAGAGAGAGACAACACAATATGTGGGATGAAAACAAATCCAAAGGAAAACGCGGCAGAAAAAATACCCCAATTTTTTTAAACAGCAGTATCGGCGGAAACCAGACTAAGAATCTGCAAAGGGTCAAAAGAAAGGCGTCCAGATGACAGGCGTGACAAAAGTGGCCAAACCCATGCGACGCTGCGAGGCAGGCTGTGTAAGGTCAGCGAGAGGCATGCAGGATGACGGAGTCACACAGCGGGCACGAGAGAAAAAGAAAGATAGTACGACAAACGGAGTGCCGCATAAGGAAGAAACGAAAAAGGCAGTTGGTCACTCGATCGTACTTTCCCTACGTGACTAAATCTCCGCCGCGATATGCAAGTGCAACCGATCAAGATTTGAGGAAGCAAGAGCCTGGTCACCGCCCTCCTCCTCGAGTTTGGCGCCGCTCTGGCCGGCGAGGCCTTGTTCGCCGCCGAATTTTTCTCTCTTTATTTCTTCCTTGGTCCTCTTAGACAGCATACCTCGTACTAGCCTTGAGGGTGGCGCTAGCGCGGACTCGCTTGCCCCAAAGGGTTAAAAAAAACGCAAAAAGAGGCGGGAGCTCGGCTTATCTCAAGCCAATACCGAGTTGTTGTCTGTCGTTCTCTGTAATTACACCGAGGAGAGTGGGCGGTGAACCAGTGGGCTGCATGTTGACAGACAGATGGATGTATATTTTGCTGGCCATAATGCTGACTTTGAGCATCCTGGTCTACACTGCATTATTGATATCTTTGGGGAGGCTTGCGACGCAGAAGACAGTGCTTTCCTTGGGAGGAAAACTGCAGCATCAGTCGAGCCTTCCCGTTATTGTCTTTGTTGGCGGTGAGCTTTTTGCAGCTAATTCTGTTAGCGGCCATATCTCGTAGTTTATTCGGCAGAATGACGAGGCTAGCAGTCAAAGGAGCAGCTACGTTCCAAACGAAAGCGCAGTTTTGTCTGGATTATTCGCTTTACCCCACGCGGTTGCCGCCATTGGCTGGTTGGACCTCCCTAAAACAGCAAAAGCTCACTTGTACGCCGGAACACCACTGGGCAAGTGCCTGAGCCGTTACAGCAAGCACGAGTTCCACAAAGCTCATCAGCGAGTAAGAAGGCGTCATTCCGAGCGGGCTGAACTTCACGTTCCGCTACCACTTTCGTCTCGACTCCATCCCGGCCACGAACGAACATCGGAGGAACGCAATACGCCAACGAGACATCCACGTTTCGCCTGTATTTGTTCACTTGAACACCACGATGCCTCTCGAAATGCCCCGTGTCGCACCGCGACGCAAGCAACATGGTCGGCACCACCACGCCCATACGGCCGCGGCCGCGCCGTGGACCGACGTGGAAGACCATGCCCAGCGCAACCGAAGAGGCGACGACGACGACGACGACAGCGATGAAAGCTCTGGATACGACGACGACGAGCGGACGCAGCACACTGACCGCCGCGGCGATGGCGATGGCGAAGACGACGACGGTTGCTGCGCACCGTTGGCGGCGATGACGAAACCCGTCGAGGTCGGCGAGCTGGGCTCGTACGGCTATGCCGGCGAGGCCGCTTTTTGGATCTGGCCGCTGTTTGGGCCCCTGCTGTTCGAAAACACAAGTAGTGATGTGCGTGGCCTTTGGTGGCCTCGGCTGGCCTTGGCTGGCCTTGATCTTGCCGGTGTGCAAAGTTGCTAACAGTTCTGAATTAGGCGCGCGACGGCCTGGCCAACGAACGAAGTATGTAGACGTTGTTGCCATCACTCAAGTCTGCGCGACACTGTCCTAAAACTAACACAACAGTACAGCCTTTCTCTCCTACCTCCGCCTTTCCGTGACAATGGCCGTCGTGGCCGTAGCCATTGTCCTGTCGTTTCATCTCAAAAACCAACCGTCACCACTGGAACTGCGGATGGCCCGGCCGCTTGGCATCATCTTCTGGCTCCTTTCGGTTCTGACTCTATTCGTGGGCGTCGCCAATTACATCAGTACGTCTACAACGTGACCGGACGGACGCCCCCGAATACTGGCGGCACAGCTAACACCTCTAGAAACGGTCAACAAATACAGCCGTCGGCAGGCTATCGTCCAGTCCGGCTGGAAGACGCAGTCGGTACGTGTGCCCATTCCTACGCGTATCCCTCAGGCTCAGGCTCCCTTACTAATATAGTGTCTCCCCAGATCATGGCTGCCGTGGCGCTCGCCATTCTCGGTTCGTGCGTGACGCTTTTGGTTATAAACCGGATAAGCGAGAACTAAAGCGGCATGTCAGCAGCATGTCGCGAGATTTGTTTCCTATACCTATTGTATTATATCTTATGAATACCTGCTTGCCTTCTTAGTGATACGAATGATTGAATGAAATCAAAATCAAAATCAAAATCAAATCAAATAAGTCTATGTTCCTAGATCCGCTCAGTATTCTATCGTTACAGCGTTGCGCAATGAACAAAAAGGAGATGAGAGAAGATAATACAAAATGAATCGTCGAGAGAGGCCAGGGCTGAAAAGCCAGGGCGGAAAAAGACAAGAAAAGATATCGCCTCCTGACAGATCATCCAGTCATGTATCCTTTTTGTTCAAGTAAAGTTAAAAAGAGTGAGAGAAAATACTAGCCGTCCGTGTCGTTACAAAACAGCGTCTCCGGTAGCAGCACGGCCAGCATACCCTCGCTACAGCCACCCGTAGTGCGGCGGAAGTGCGTCGCGTACTCGACGGACTGGTCGTTGAGTTCGTCTAGCGTGACGGACTTGCCGTCCCATGCCAACAGCGGAAGGTCCGAGAAGGGTGCAAGGCCGGTGGTGTCTCCTGTAGCAGTTCCACCGCGGTGTGGCAGCGCCTCGAGCAGCGTCTTGCTGCCCAGACGCACCTCGTCCGAGCCGGTCCAGTGCGGGTTGCTGCCGGCCGCGGCCGCGTCGGCCAGGACGTCCTCTTCGTACTCCTCGGGCGGCTTGTAGAGCTCGTCGTGGACGGTGGCGAGGGCGCTGGCGGTGGTGGAGCTGGGGTAGAGGGTCCAGAAGCCGCGGGCCTGGCAGAGCTGGAGGGCATGTTCGAGCCAGGCGGGGAAGGTTTTGCTGACGCGCTTGACAGGCTGTTCTGCATGAGACTTGGACTCGGGCTCGGCCATGCGTTGGGCCTCGAGCAGCTGGGCGACGAACTGATGCAGATCGGCCCAGCGCTCGCCAAGGAAAAGAACCGCGTTGCTGTTGGGGGCCTGCCAGAGGAACGAGGAGTCGGCGGATGTATCGGCCGAGGCACCGGCCGCCGAGGCACCGGCCGCCTCTGTCGCATCTCCCTTTTTCAATGGTGCTGGCGGCACAAACGGAGTCGAGCCATCCAAGGCAGTGCGCGGCAGGTCGAGGCTGATACCAAAAAGACGCTTGTCCCACTCTTGAAGCAGGGCCGGATTCGAGTAGCGGTACTCGAGTAGGGCATACTTGATGTCTGAGCCCGTCAGATATAGATACGAGGCAACAGGAGATGGACAGAGAAAAGGTTGGAAGGCAGTGCTTACAGTGAAAAAAGTCGGGCGCGAGCTCCGTCTGAGGTGACAGCACGAGCACATGCGAGTCTTGTGGGTGCGTCGGCCAAAACGACTCGAGGAAGCGGACGGAGCTCTCCTCCTCGCTGACACCATGTTTGGGGATGCGGTGGCGCAGCGAAAGCTGCTTCGTGTCCGACGCGTCGGCAAACCCGGCAGGCGGCCAGCGGAACGACTCGAGGAACTCCACGGTCGGCGGGTCTATCTTTTGCGGCAGCTCAATGGTGACGTGGGGAACGGAGCCGCCACCAAAATCAGCGCCGCTCAGCGACTTGAGCAGGCGGATCAGGCTGCCCGAAGCGCCCGGATACGCGTGGATGAGGATGTCGATGCTGATCTTGTTCCAGCTGGACAGAGACGCGCTGTCGAGCTTGGTGAGCCAGGCTAGCCGCTGCGGCGCGCGCTTGGGCAGCTCGATGAGCGTGGTGTGGCTGGACTTGGCGTGGGTTCGCATGCCGGCCTTGAAAAAGTTCTCCTCGGCGTTGGTGCCGTCAATGATAATGGCCTGCGGGTGCATGTAGAGCTGGACGTGGGACATGGCGACGTCGACGCCGTTTTCCATGCGCTCGTCCGTCGAAATGGAGGCGTACTCGGGCCGTGCATCATGGAAGAAAATATTGCACGAGGCGTCTATGCCGTGAATCTGCTGCAGAGCGGCAAGGCTGATCTCGCTCTTGCTCATCACCATAAAGTGTACATAGCTGCGCAGCTCGGTGCCCATCTGGCAGGCCAGCGGCAGCAGCGTGGCGATGCTATTCAGACTTCCGGCGGCGAAGAGGACGTTCTTGTTGACCCTGAACGAGCCGTGGGTGCTACTGATCGAGCGGAGGCTGCCGGCGAGCTCAAGGAAGCGCAGCTGGCCGTTGTAGTAGCCGACTGCTGGGCTTACGGCCGAGGCGCGCGGCTGGGGAGGGGCTGCATCGGGGGCGACGGGCGCGGATGGCGGGACCTCAGGCGCCTTGAGGTTGCCGAGGCGGTCATTAAAGGGTGGCGCTTGGGCCTTTGGATGCTCCGGCGGCGGCGGCGGCGGACGTGGAGGAGGCGGAGACTTCTGTCGGTCGTGTCCACGCGGCTGTGTCGCATCCTGGTAAACAGGCCGGCGATGGTCGCGAACCGGCAAGTCGCTGGGCAAGTTCTTGACAAATAGGTAGACAGCAAGCAAGGCTAACACGCCGATTGCCAGCCGCTTGAGGAGCTTGCGCGGATGCACACGCACCGAGTGAAGGACAGATGAGGCCCCATGGCCAGAACTACTGCTGCCCGTCCGCGGCCGCAGGTGGTCGTCGTCCTTCTTGCCCATCTCCACGTCGCTGAGGAAGAGCGACTGCACTGTCCCGCGGACGCGGTCCTGTACCGTGGTCATGGCGTGGACGTGGGCGTGTGCTTATGTACTCTGCACGACGTAGGGTTCGTTGAGACAAACGGAGAAATCGCGTCTTTTATGTTATGTCGAGGAGTGGGAGCATCGCATTTTGCGGTGATCAGGGCTCAAGGCTGCCTCGAGGCGAAAAGGGAGACGGCCTGATGAGGGTGGTGCCACACAATCGGAGCTCGACGGACCGAGTGTCGCGTAGGAGGAGCCAGTGCCGTGCTCGTCGACCCTCCTTTCTGTCGTCGTCGTCGTCGTCGTCGTCGTCGTCGTCGCTCGTGGAAGCAGCTCTGTTGGTTCAGAAAGGGAAAGTGCTTAAGGAAAGCTGGCGTCGAAGACAGGGAAGGCACGGCTCGTGCAGGGGGTTCTTGGCATTGGAAGGGGCACTCCGCTTTTGGCACCTGCAAGGAAGGTGCAAGGCTGCGGCACCCATTAGCCTAAAAGTGGGTCGCGCAGCTAGCGAGGATGTGGCGGTTGTGCGCTGAAGCACAGCGCCTTTCTCTGATCAACATTTTAGTAGTCCGTACAGCACGCGACGCGGCTAAGCTTCCAAAGTTGTCCTCCAAAAAAAACTTAACACAACTGCACCGCATCACAACCCACCAGCGGACCGACGCCGCCATGCCTCCCGCCGACGTTGTCATGGATGACGAAAACTATGCATCGTCAGAAGACTCGGACTTTGCGCCAGAGAACGTGCCCGACCACGCATCCGCGGCCGACTCGGACGACGACGACAATGACGACGGTGATGATGCCAACGCGACGACGTCCGGCCAGCGGACAGGAAAGCCCACCAACGGGGATATGGAGGCAGAAGATGCGGGGTTTGAAAACTCGGGTGACGAGGCAATCATCGGCAAAGGCAAGAAGCGGAGGCGGCGAGACAAGGAAAGCGACGGCGAAGATGGCGACGGCGGCGTGGGCGGGTTTGTAAAGACACGTAACCAGCGTGCAAATGAGTGAGTACAGACCGGCCGTATGATGGAGGTCGCCATGGTTATGGATACTTACAGTGTGTAGGAAAGCAGAACGGCGAGCTGCGGCTGTCCAAGGCCCTGTCACGGTCGATGTCGACGCACTCTTCAGCCAGATGATGGGCGGTGGAGGAAGTCGTGGTTCCGAGGTCAAGGCGCAGCAGCAGCCGGATCTTTCGTCGCTCGCCTCGGCAGCCATGTTTGCAGCAGCAGGTGGGGATCGTGACGACGGCAAAAAGGAAAAGACCGAGACGGAAACGGATGGCAAGGACACAGCGCCGGCCTCGGGCCGCACAGAAATGATCAAGATCAAGCGCACGTACAACTTTGCCGGCCAGGTGCACACGGAGGAAAAGATTGTCGCACGCGACTCGGCCGAGGCCAAGTTGTACCTAGAACAGGTCGGCGCCGACAATGTCGAGATTGTGGCTGTGAGCAAGGAGGGCGAGGGCGACGGAGAAGACAGCGACAAGCAGCCCATGCGCCCGCCACCCCGCAAGGCATTTCGCTCCGTGTTTGAGCCGATCCTGGACCCGTCGCTCGTCCAGGTGGGCGCACGTACCGATCTCGACCTGGGTCTGGCCGCCCGGCTGCAGGCACGCGAGCGCGCCGCTCTACAGAAGCAGCTGCAGGCTGCCCAGGACCAGGCCAAGAAGCTCACGACGGTGGAGAAGAGCCGTATGGACTGGGCCGGGTTTGTGGATCGCGAGGGTATACAGGACGAGCTGGCCGTGGCGGGAAAGTCCAAGGGCGCGTTTGTGGACCGGCAACAGTTCCTGGCACGGACGGAGATGCGGCGCGAGGAGGAGGCCCGACGTGCGCGCATGGCTGGCAAAGTGTGATGACGGCGACCGTAGTGTCGCGCGGTCGACCCGCACACGCCGCATACTACAGCCAGCATGCCCTGCTCACTGCACGCCAGCTGTGGTGAAATCCCAATTCATGGTCACCACGCCCAGTTGATGCGGCCTACAGGTCCGCGCCTGGACGCCGTGCCATCGGTAACTTGCTACGGCAAAGCGGCCGGTACATACTGCCATATCAGATGCAGCGATATGAGCAAGGCGGCTTTGCTGGTGTTTTGTTCTCGCAACAACTGCTCAGCACTCCATTGGCATGCTATGAATGCGTTCCAACTGTCCGCCGACACTGGAAGGGCACTGGAAGGGCACACAACATTAAATTTATTTGACACATCGTCCATAACGTAACAGATAGTAATAAATCCTGTCTAGCCCGAAAATTGTCTTGCACTGTTAACAATGAACATCGAACTTTCAAACGACCATGTGAACAAATCCTTTCATGCTCCAAAACAGCCCTACTAACGTTGTGCCTCGGCTTTTAATGTGCCGCGGAGCTGGTTCCCCACCCCGCGCTACTACCACAGCGGCTTAATACCCATCTCCTAAAGAGTTGTTAGAAACAGTGAATGTACGATCTACTTTGGAAATAATTAGCATCAGCAACACAGCAAATGATACCTCAGTCTGTCAGCATCTCTCTTTGCGCCATCTCGTTATACCAACTCACCTCGGACACTCCCTCCCGCCTTACAAAACACTGCTACCACAATGGGCGGCCGTATCGACGCGTATCTTGACGTCGGTGAGTCGCATACGCAACACAATCGATCTTCCTCCTAATGTTGCGGCACGACCCGTTCTTTTCTTTGGGGTTGGACTCACAACTGTTAAATCTCACGTTACGTTGGCTAACTCGCACCCCTTGAACAGCGTCATTATACAGCTACGTGGCCTTTCTCTTGCTTATCAAAGATGCACCTGTCTATGCTGCCAACAACATAGAGGTCGTGTATGAGATGTCCAAACCTATAAAGCCTATAAACCTCCCCCCAAGACACCCACTCACGATGGCTGACCTAACGTTGCAGATATCACCCCATCCTCCTCGGCGCCATTAACAAGGCGACTGGCAACAAACCGCCGTTCTCGCTTCCCGCAAAGGCCGCGTATGGCATGTACGACGTGAGACGGTCTTGTGCCCGGGTCGGTGTGCCCGAGACCCAGACCCCGCCAGACTTTATGAAGCGCGCCGTCACTGTCTTGGCCCTGCGCGCCCTCCACTACATCCAGAGTCATTATTCGGCCGAGACGTATGTTGCCGCCTTCCACTACCTGTTTTACCGCTTTTGGACGCCCGAGCACGCCGATCTGCGCGACCCAGAGGTCCTCAAGGCCGAGCTCCGCGCCGCACCCGCCGGCTTCAACGGCAAGGCCTCGCTCAAAGCCGGCTCCCAGAACAGCAAGCCCTTGTTCGCCGCCGCCGACGTCGACGCTATCGTGGCCGGCGCCACGTCACAGCCCGCCAAGGACCAGCTGACGGCCGCTACCACGGAGGCGCTCGACCGGGGCGCCTATGGCGCGCCTTGGCTGTGGGTCACCAACGATGCCGGCGATGCGGAGCCCTTTTTTGGCAGCGATCGCTTCCACTTTGTGTACCAGTTCCTCGGTCTGCCGTACCAGGACGTTGTCCTGGTCGATGCGCCGGTAGCGAGAGCAGGCAAGCTATAAAATCGCGCGTCGTTGGGAGGACAGGCGGTGGATCTTTGGTCATCGTCCTCGTATCGAAACACATTGTAAATGACAACATTATGCCATCTCTTTCTATTTCCATATGTCATACTCCGCACAAATAAAGCACCAACCGAAAGGTCACCATCCAAGCATGCAAAAGAAAATCTGTATAGTCTTTGGGATGTTCGTATCAGAACAAAATCTAACCTTCTCTTTTTTGGTATAGAATAGGGATATCATGCGCGTCGCTTCTTTTTTGCTTGAGAGAAATACTCAAGCTGATAGAAAAAAACAAAAATGGAAGTACAGATAATGAAAATGACAATGTGCCCAGCAAGACAACCACAATCGCGAGAAAATGATATCAAACGTATAAAAAAATGAGAGTAAAACAAAAAGCAATGCATCATCGTCCATCACAAGATCCATATCCATGACCGGAAGAGTTGGGGTATTGCGCGCCAGGGTATATCCAGCCAATGGGGGATAGGGGTATTTTCGACTGTTTTTTTGGTTTCCATTTCCCGCGGCGTTTTAGTCGAGAAAATCAACACTCAACACAAAAGCAGCTGAGAACTCAACTCAAGAAATAAACAAAAAATATCAAACGGCAGAACGCATATGCGGAAGAGAGCAAAGAGAGCAATGACAACAGAACTGAGAAAAACGTTAAAGTTGACAACTTTCACTTTCTCACGGTTTAACGGAAGGCTCCAATGTGACCAGGGTATCCAGAATTGGTCGAGTGAGACGTTGACGGGCGGCCGCTGTCAGCAGACTGCCGCGGGTTGTAGCGAGGTGTGATCTCGCCCGTCTGGGGAATCGTCAGGTTGTGGTGGTCCATGCCGTTGCTGAAAGGACGGGTCGGCCAAGGAGACGAGTCGTCATCGGGTAGGTTGACACCGCTGTCGTTCCAAGGGTTGCGGTCCGCATTGAAACTGCGAGTCGATTCGATGCTAATCAAAGATGTCTTGGACGCGTTGGCCGAACCCTTGAAAAGGGAGTGGGACGATTGTGCGCTGTTCTTGCGACGGTCAAGGAACGACGAGATCGACGACATGCTGCCCGGTTTGCGGAGACGGTCAAAGATGGTGTTGCGCTCGCGGGCCACCTCATCGCCAAAAGCGGACTTGGTTGGCGAATCTGTTCCGAGGGTCGTCGGTGCGTGCTGGAGCAGCTTTGAATCAAAGTACTGGAATGATTCTTCAAATGTGTCGGATTTGGGGCGGGGAATCGAGCCCTTGACGACAGTCACCTCGACGTTGGCTGTAGCAAGCTGTGAATAAAGGACCTCGACCGCGTCGCGAAGACCACCTGCATTGTTACGCGTAAACGTCCACAGCATGGTCACGGTCGGCTCGCCCTCCTCAGTGGTCTCTTCGGTATTCTCCTGAACGGTGACGCCAACCTCATGGTGCTTCTTCAGCTTCGGCACCAATTCGTGTGCATACTCCGGAGACTCTAGATACTTGATCAGGGCGGAGCTCCGCACAAAGACCATTTCATGGTTGTCAGGAACCATTCCCTAATTAAATTCGGTCAGTCAGCATACACATATCAAAAATATGGCTGTAAAAAGTGATATCCGAACGCGAAAAGGAACGTACCAGGAAGTCGTCCACGCAGAGGGGAACCTGCCACTGCGGGCCGGTAACAGTCACTTCATCGCTTGCTTGTTCGGTGCTAGGGAAACTGATCTTGCAGTTCCATTTCTTCTCAAGAGTCTCAAGCTCCGGCAGTCGCGCAATCAAACGACGGTGGTACAGGCGATCGACGTTAACGATTTGAGACGTAAACTCCGAATCCACTCGATCAACCATCTCCAAAATTTCAGACTTGACAAGCTCAAGATTCTGAGCGTTACGAGCAGGGGTGCGGCATATCACATTGTCAACGCGCATGTCATCATCTTCTCGGCCAATGCCACCTATGACAGCTGCGTTAGCAAATTAAAGGCATGCATTTTATGCAGACAAGTGCGTGCGAAACGGTGGCTTGTATCTTACCTCGGTCCATAGCGTTAGAGAACTTGACAAAGACAGAATGCTTTTTCATGATGCGCTGGATGTGCTGGCCTCCTATGCCAATAATGCGCTTGTGGTACTGGTCCGGAACATGGAAAGAGATGGACGCGGGCATCTCCTGCTCGACCAGCGAAAGGCCCTGCTTCATCGACTCGTACGATTGAGCATTGACATCAATGTTGAAGTTGTACTCGCCGAAGCTCTCGAATAGGATCTGCACGTTGCTTTGTCCCATGATCTTGTTGATTTTGCCGTTTTTCTTGCCACTGACGAATTCTTTGTGTTCGTTGGCAAGCTCAATCTTGACCTTGATCTGATACGGAAGATGGATCGCAAGCGGGACCATAGAAAGGACATTCAGTGCAGCCTTGACGGCGTCGTCGGAGCCCGTGATACTAAATGCCCAGGCCTGGAACGAGACATCCGCATCGGAGTTGGCGCATACTTCCCCCAGAATCGATTGAATTTCAGCGGGATTGGGAATCTGGCGGCTATCCGCTTGAGCAACAGCCCAGAAGCCGCTGTAGAACTGTCCAGCAAGGGCCATCAACTCCCGGGCCGTCCGCTCCGTGTGCAGGTTCTCGGTAGCCTGGATCCGAACCGTGTTTTGTCTCGAGCCGAGGACCGGAAAGAGGATATTAGCCCCATTCGTCTCGGTGATCTTGCGGACTTTGTCCATGCGGCTGAGCAAAATACTGTCGATCTTCTCCGCCGGAACAACAATATCCTTCAAGAAGAGGCGGGTACGGCCCAAGACTTCGTGGATCTTCTTCTTCGCGGCCGAAACGCTGTCTTGGCTCTCGCCGGTAATGAAAATCTCGTTCGGCTCACGCGGGCGGGCAGTCGGGGGCGAATAGCGGAACACGGTCGAAAACGATGGAGGCATGTAGATGGCAGTACCAGTCGAAGACTCGATCGTCTTGATGTTTTTTCTGTTGCGGCCGCACAGAGGCTGGTGGAAGTTGGTATCCAACCGCAGTACGTCATAAACGCGGCCGAGCTGAGTAAAAGATACAGCGTTAGCTTCTGACAAGACATCGGTCCCAAAAAGGACAATCCAAGGATGGTATAGTAAGCGAGGCTCAAACGACCTACCATTCTGTCAATGTGAATCAACACTCGGGTTTTAGCATGTTCCGATGACAAAATGTCTCCGTAGATAGCTACTCTCCATCGTTGGTCACGCCGGAGCTCATTGTCACCGTTGAGCCCATCCACGATCGGCGTCAGCTTTGGGCCAAGGAGGAAAATGTCAACGCCGCAAAAGTTTGAGATGTTGTCGAGCGTATCGGTAACGGCTTTCTTCAGCGTGCCTTCAATGAGGTCGGCGACCATGTCACCACTGATATCAACGGTCGTACAGCGCTGCAGAGAGAAAGACAACAGTTAGTAACGTGAAACGAAACATTACATGTGGTCAATGGCAACTAGATCGGGAATTCGGGGATATTGGCAAACGTACAAGAGCAAGAGGCGTTTCGTTCAGGATAGTCTCGTGGGCACGGTAGACAGAATCGGGCGCGCCTACCAGGCAGACCGTCGTAACTTGGGACTTGGCGTTCTTGGGGACAGAGGTTATAATGTTGGCCTCGATTTCGTTCTTGGCAGCAAGCTGGTCGCAGAGGTTTCCCAGGTCCGCGAGGTTGTTCGCGTGGACAGGCAGTTCATGGACAGGCACGTCATCCGGGGCACTGTCCGGGTGCGTCCAACGAAGGACTGCATCTTTGGTAGCATGCAAAATATCCTCGGTGTCGGGGCCGGCCAGGTCGGAAGCAAACGGGACATTGAAGGCGTAGAATACCGGCGTGTTCACAGTCATGCCAACCTGGTTAAGAGACGTCGCCGAAGCATTCGCGGCACCCTGGTGGGCCAACTTCTGCAGTGGGTTCATGGCTGGACCGGGCATGTTAGGAGGCCGGTTCGACATGCTAAAGTTGGGGTTTATCCTGTCGGACCAGTGACGCATGTTGAGGTTCGCGAGTTTATTCATATTGAACACGGTACATTCGAACTGGGCAATACGGTATCCGGTGTGTCGTAGAGACGGGCGGGTGAGCGCTTGTGGGCTATCTGTTATAGTTGGGTGGGCGTTACAGGAGGAGAATGCAGAGACAGACGGCGAATCTTATCGAGTCTCTCAAAAGGATTTCGTAAGGGATCGAAGGGTGTCCGAGTCGTGGATCGATGCGTTTTTTATGGGTATCGCGAAGGGTATCTCGACGGGTATCTCGAAGGGTATCTCGGAGGGTATCTTGAAGGAAAGGCAAGAAAAGCGTAGGCAGGTTGTCAAAATCAAAAGGGCCCAAAAAATCCTGTCACGGCTCCGGCCACAACGATCAAAACTCGACACACGACAAAGCCGAAGTAATCGAGAGGCGTCCAAAAGAGGACCAGAAAGGAACGAAGGCAAAAAGACGGTAAAGTGTGTGTGTATAATACAAGAAAAAAAAGGTCGAAGGAGACCAATCGAGAGGTCCCAGTGCCGCAAGCGGAGTTGTGGAGGGTCGGGACACGGGGTGGCAGGAGAGGGAGAGAAAAGAGAAAAGAGAGGGCAAAACAGACCCGTCACGATGTGCAAAGACGAGCCTGACGTCTGCCGGGGAAAGGAAGGCACTGAGGTTTGGCAATGGAAAGGATAGGGTATCGTAACGAGTATAAGGAAAGACCGGGCTGGTGAAAGGAACAGTTATCGTCGGCACCTTCCCAGAGAGAGAAGAGAAGGAACGATGGTGCACGAGGAAGGAACTCGAAAGAAAAGGAACGAGAAAGAGGCTAAGTGAGCCGTAAGGAGAGCGAGCAGAGCGCTGATGCAGGGGGGAGCAAGGCCTAGCCAAAAATGACACAATGCACTAATCGAAAGGCCGCAAGGTAGCAGTGAGACGAGGGGGAGGTAAGTCAACAGAGAGGAGACGGCGGAAGAACAAAAAGAACAGAAAATAAGAAATCACGTTCTAGTCACGTCTTGCTATTTTTACAAAAATAATACTTTGATTTGTCTCTTTCCGAGAGCCCGGTGGGTGTAGTGAAAATGTACGTGAAAAATAGAATGGCAGCTGCGTGGGGACAGACGGTCTCAGAAGCAAAAATGGCGAGAGCTGCACAGAAGGAAGAAGAGGGAGACAGAAAGACAAGGAATCCATGCGCTAGGAAGGGAGAGGTCGAGAAGGGCCGGTAGGCGAAGGCGGCTTTGAGCGAGAGGCAGGTCGAGCTCGGGTTGGAAGTGGACAACTCAGACACCGACAACCCGCCAGCAAGACCTTGAGATTTCAGATCCAATGCCCTGAGAGGTGGGAGGGAGCGGTGGGCTGGAGTGGGCTGGCGCTCCCTGGGTGTGAGTGGGGAAAGGCCAAAAAGGCAGGAACGACACAAGGCGAGTCCACACTACAAAGCTAGACACCCCCATACACATCAAGAAAGTGCGGCGTGATAGGCCTGAGGCCGAGCAAGCGTGACCCCACAGGCGTTAAAAGGTGGTCGTACGTGCCGTTCTTACAACCTTCCTTGGCTGCGTATCTAAGGAAAGAGACATGTAAGAAAGATACGCGGCGTGATCACACCGCAGGAGAAGGAGCAAGCAGTCTGGAGGAGATGCACAGAGGCATGTTATCAAGATGCAGCAAGATGCAGCAAACTGCAACATGATGCAGGAAGATGCCGACAAGCACGCCGTTCATGTCCCCGTCCTTCCCCCAGCATACTAGTCCATACCAGCCCACCGCCATGGAGCACCGCGGAAAAACTCGTTCGACACTTGCATGCCCCGGCGGTTTTTCCCTAACAATAGCATGCGACGTTTGCATAATCGTGGTAGCTAGAGGTTTCCTTCTTCAGCGGAAGCATCGGACGAGCAGGAGCGATAGGCGGCACGGAGAAGAGAGCGGGGATTTGAGCTCATCATTTGGCCAGGCAAGGCCATCTGGCGGCACTTGTTCTTACCGCGACGGCATCCAAAGCTGTTTTAGCGCTCCCACAATGTGCTGCAGCGCGGCATTCGGGGGAACGACCTACGCAGAGTCCCCACACCGTAGCTTTACCATAGGGGCCTCCGCTGCCATGCCATAAAGGTCTGTCCAAAACACAGCTTTAGTACGTCTTAGCAAGCATTTCGGGGCTAAAAATCAAGTGCGGGTTTTCTCGTTTTTCTTTCTGTTCACACACTTTTTGGTGTATTGCGACGTAGGGTTGCTCGATCAAAAACGAGTCAGAGCTTCACACATGCCTCCGGGCATGCTTGGCAGCCCCATTCGTCTGGGTGTCTGGGAAGAAGTGGATAAGCTCCATTTACTTGGTGGGCATTCTATGCCGGAGAGTCTTGCGTGGACACAATATGTCGAAGCCAAGAGTTGTGTTTTGCTGTTTTGCAGGAGAGGCAGGTGATGCCACCCGGGAGTTGCCCGTGATCTTACGTCTCACTGAGGCAGGCTCGCGCTTGTCTATCTAGGATCTGTACACAACATTCCTTCCGGTTTGGCTCAGACGAGTCAAAAGATGACACTTCGTTCCTTCCGTGCCCAATGCTCCGCGTCTTTCCACTAATGTAGCCGACTCGTACGACCGTCTCTTCTTGCCCCTACCCAAAGCAAGCACGAGGCAAGAACAAAACAGCTGCCGCTTACAGTTAATACGCAGCTCCCATCACCCTGTTTCTTCCACTCACAAGGCTACCAAAGCTGCCACGATAGCAAAACAGCTGGGCTTGACGGGCGCTCCGACATTCAAACGGCGTGACCAAACACGATATGGCATCGCAGCCAGCTGGGGACGAGCCAGCCCGGCGGAGCAGTGGGCATGGGTCGTGCAGAATAAAGAATTTCAGACATAAGAAATAAGGGGCATGCAGATGATCACTCGTATGGACTTGTTTAACTGGCAGATATCTGACAGTAGGTACTTACTCAGTGCGGCGTAAATTTCGTCACAGAAAGGTGGGAGGACGACCTGCAATGGCAGGTCGTTCTCCAGGTACGCTCGAAGCAACTGCATTTGCAATTTAACATGACTGAAAATAGCACCTCATGCAATCAATGCACTGCATATGTCGTATATGGACTATGGATATAGCAAGTACTACGCAATAAGGGTTTGGTCGAGATAGCGAACCTATCCAGGCAATCTCGGATTCTTGCTGAAATCTGAAGGCTATTTCTGCCACGTCAAGCAAAGGACCCGGCCAATGTCCAATATCAGTTTCAAGGGCGCGGTCACGCTTCCCAGTCGCGTTGTTGCTGCTGGAACGCGGAAGGATGTCGGAACGAAAGGAAGCAAAGAACGAAGCACAAAACAACAAAGGAAGCAACCAGGATACACGCCCATGCGATGGTCTTATTTCCAGCTATTCCGGCCATGCCATACAGGAATGATGCCCGTCGCAGTTCACCCCGTAGGCGCGTTGATGTCTCTGAAATAAGCTGCTTCGTGTTCAGACAACAGATACACAGGCATTACGAGTCCAACACGCCGTTATATGGTTTGCGGTGATTTCATTGCATGCCTTGGATTTCGTACAGAGTGTGGTCCATTTGCACTGCCTCAGTCCTCATCTCCACCCGCCAAAAATGGGTAAAAGGCAGGAGAGGAAGAGGTCGCCAACAAGGCCCAAGAGAGGGCAGGAACAGGGGTGGTTCGGTCTTGCTTCTTTCCTGTTCCAAGCCAGAAATTACTCTTTTTTTTCAAGAGGCAGGAATGACCACAACGAACGGGACTTTTGCTCCAGAAAGCTTGCCCAGGAGGACAACTACCCCCGTATTACAAAGTGGGGAGCAGTGACGCCCGAGATCGAAACCACGTCTTATTACATCCTCGTCTGTCGTAATGGTCCTGCACAACAGTCGAGCACGAATGGGGCTCATGGAGCCTGCCACGTACTCTTTGTCGACACCCCAACAGGAACGAGCAGAGGTGCCTCGAATCTGCTCCGGCGGTCATAGCTTATTGCTACTCAGTTCGACCATTCCAGCCGAACACTCTCGGGATAGGTCGACGCCCAATTTCTGTGCAAACAAAGGTCAGTGGACTCCGTCGAGCTGCTCAATGCGAACGACTACAGGGATCTACGAGCAGAGACAGCACCTGTAGCTGTTGCAACATCTAGCAATCTATCTCACAGTACGCGGCACGGCACAGAAGGTCGATCAATGTTTAGATGGCTTCCCAGCTTCATGAACCGTGTCACGCCGTAGATTCATATATACAAGCTCCAAGAATCGAAAATGGCACACTTTCGAAAGCGCGTTAGAGTCCACCCAATCAACTCGTTGGCTGGACTATGTGTGTTCCATATCAATGACACCAGCGATATCAACGATGGAAGAAATTGTTGCTGAACACGTTGCGCAACTCAGTGTACTTTGGAGGTTACCTACTCCTCAGAATTCAAAGCTCGGTGCTCGAGCCTGCCAGTGTGCCCCCCACTCTGTCGTGCATCTTGCAGTTTTGCCAGACCAGGAGTGTGTCAGCCGGAAACGCGGGGAGACACAGGCCTACTTTGCTTGACGATTGCTAGAAACAGGCTGCATTCAAAACAGAGACTGCCATCGCCAACTCGTCAGTTCACCAATCAATCGACCGTCTGCTGGCGAACTGATGATCATGAAGTAGAATCCTCGACAAGAAACGAACCAAGTGACAGAACAGTTCGAAGGAACTCCGGGGCTGTGCATAGCTCTCGCATTGGCGCCTTTGTTTTATTTCGTCCCAGATTTATCACATACCCCCAGTGATCGACAGGGCGTGTCCGGATTTCCTTGTTCGATGCCTGCCCAAAATGTTCGATAAGAAGCATCTGACGAGGGCTGTATGATACTGAAAATCGTAAAATAAACTGCGACTATCCACTACAACACGATAAAGTGCTGTCCACGTGCAACCAAGTCCTCCCGATATGTGAACTGAACGGCGCTCCTCTTTGTGTAGATAACACATTGTATTCCTGGCCATTTCCATCTTTGATTCAAACTTCTGCCCCGGGTTTGAAGGAAGTAAAATATTGCCTCTACCTAGTTTCCATGCCCATTGCGAAAATTGAATGTAAGGGGCCATGGTGACTACAAAAATGTGCTCACAATCGGCAGCCTATTTGTTTTGGGAGAGACCATTAGTCTGCAAAATCATGACAGATGGTTGCAGATAGAAATCAAAATGCTTTTGTATCTTATTCCCCCAATGCTATTAAATGACAACCGCAGAATGTACTCCGTTTGATGTTCTACTTATGATTGGCCAACCCAGCCAAATTATGCAAAGATAATAAAGGAAGCAAGACAAGACACATGTATCATCGTCAACTTGATCAGATGCCATAGCCCACTAATGGCATCCGCTCACTGGTATGCAGCCCGTTCGTCTGAGTAAGCATACTCTTGAGCAGGCGGGCCACCCATCGCGTACGGGGCTTGCTCCGTGTAGTACGCCGACGCCGGCCTAGGCCGCGCACTGTACTCTCTATGCACAACGACATGAGACTCGGGACGAATGCTGTATTCCCGGACTACTTCATGAGGGCCACGGCGGTCATCAATATAAGCGCCACCTTCCGGCACACCCCGTGCCGGTCCACCATAGATGCGAGGCCCATCCTCTGGGCCGCCGGCATACCCTTGGTAAACGGCAGCATCTGGCGGCCGAACACTACCTACCCTTTCCACATATCGGCCCGGCGGCGGTGCTTCGTACCGAGCAGCCTCGGGAGGCCGCACCGTAGACGCCCTGGTTACGTAGCCTGGGACCGGCGCTGCCCCCTCCACAATATAGCCCCTCTCAGCCGCAACTGGATACTGTGAGGGGGGAGGACGTGCTGAGAATTCACGCCGCGGGTAGTCCGCATATTCGCGGGTTACATATTCCGGTTGCGTGACAACCCTTCTAGCAAACATCGGCGACGTTCTCCGATAGACAATCTCTTCATCGTCGTAGACAGGCTGCGGTGCCTGAGAGCCATAGCGGTCCTCGTACCGGAGTTCTTGGTGTAGACGTGAAGCTGGACGTTCATAGGCCAAGTTCGGGTCGTAAGTGACTGATTCCATTACGGGCTGCTGCGGACGAGGCGGCGGGGCCGGTTCATAGTATTCCCGATCAAACTCGTCAACAACAACGCGCTCTCTAGGCGGTGGGGCCATGGCTACCGGTCGCATGTTCGCCCGCCCGGAACCCTCATACTCGCCCGCAGAGTGCACAGGGTAGCCAGACGACTTCTCGACCAGAGGATGCGTTGCCGCCCCAGCAGGACGCACATTTGGATGGGAAGGGCCCGCCGCATACTGACGCGAGGGCGGACCCGCTGCAATCGTCGGCGCGTAACCTGTGTGGGCTTGCCCATAGCCACCCTCAAGGCTCCGTTGTTCTTCGTACCGTTGTAAGCTCGCACGGCGGGTGGCAGCTGCCGCTCTAGGCTGAACATAATGTCCTCTGTCAACCCGCTCATAGATAATAGGCGCACGAGGGTCCCCTCGTACAGCATGCGTAGGGCCGTAAGACGGGGGTTGCGCAGTTGGACTGTATTCATCCCCCTGTCGACGGTAGATAACATCTCGCGCCGGCGGTCGTGAATCTTGTTTCTGTCGCTTGTGTGGCCGTTGCGCGGGTGGGGCGAGAATCGGCGAGGGAGACTTTGGCTCAAGTTTGATACGCGGTGAAGTCGTGTTGACATCAGCCTTGCGCTTCCCAGCATACTTCTTCTTTCCTTTGCCTTTGTCGGTAGCGCGTCCATCAACATACGGCGAGCTGTCCGGGCTTGACTGAGACGCTTCTCCCCTTCGCAGCAAGGCCACTTGCGCCGGCGTGCCCTGTGATCCGGACTGTCCTCCGGCTGCGGCCAAGGGCAGCTGAGACGCAACAGCCAACGAGGAGATATGCGCTGGTTGGGGAGCTACAGGCGACAAATCGTGTGTCCGAACAAATGGAGAAGAGGGCTGAGGGTTGCCAGCAGCCACTCGTTGGTGGGCTGGAGAACTAGAAATGCCACTTCCACCACTTGCAGCCTGAGGCCCTCCGAGAAGCCCGGGCCATGCGGAAAGTGCGGCAACGGCCGCTTGTTGTATCTGTTCAGGTGTTGGGTTCATGGCTGGTTGTGGTGGAGCGGCTTGGGTGAGGGATACCGAGTCAAAGTTTGCTCCCAGCAGAGTCGACAGTAGTTCAGCAGGCAGCTGCCCAGACAATTCAGAAAAAGTGGTAGCAAGTTGCTCAGGTGGGACCTGTTGAAGCGCAGCCAGGTCTGACTGTTGTGCCGGTTGTGGAGAAGATGGGACATAGTCGAGTTCAGGCTCGTAATCAGAGCCCTCCTCCATGGGCATATCGTCGCGGTCGGACTCGGCTGGGACCCGGGAAGTGAGGGCGAATTCGGGTGTGCTGAAGTTGGACGAGTAAAACGTCTGGTCATCCGCAGACTCCGCAGCTGCACTGGACGAAGCATTTGCCTTTGGTATTGCCGAAGCACCACCCAGGTTAGTGATGAGACCTTGGGATAGAATTGCCACTGGGGGAGGTGTGAACGTCTTTTCGAGCTCCCGCCCCCTCCGCAGGACGTCGTCCACCAAGAAATCAGCCTGCACCTCTTCCACCTTTGCCTTGCCTCGCAGGTTTGGTGGCTCCCGAAGCAAAGCCTCAAGTCTGGCACGTTGCAGTGGGATCTCCGATAGCGAGATATTACTCGGCGACACAGCACGCACTCCAGAAGCAAAGTCCAGGCCAGAAAGAGGTGCAGTTGTGTCTGTCCCGTCCAACGACCGGCTGTTCTGCACAAACGCAGCGAGATTGTTCCCGGCAATTATACTGTGCGCTTCATGACCAGCACCATTCACCCGCCCGGCGCCTGTCTCAGCCGTCGGTGTTGTAAGTGTATCGTGTGCATGTTTGCTGTTGCCAGGTCGCCGCTCTGCACCGGGAGAGAGCTTCGGACTCGCAGTGCTCGTGGTCGAGGGTGCAAGGTGTGGTGGGATCTTGATTCTTGGGTGCTTTCCAGACGTGATGCTCTCGCTCAGCTTTATGATTCTGTTCAACTCCATCATGCGATGCAGATCGTCTTCTGTCATGGACGCGCGAGGGGGCGCGTCCAGTTCCATCTCAATCGACATGGCGGGCAGCCAAGGAGAAACAAATCGGACGGCGTATCAAAAAGACCTTTCAATGGAAGGTATATCGGTCTCGCAGCGCACTACGGCGGCGTGTACCTGTGAGGTCAAGGGCAAGAAAATGCAAAGAGGGAGAAAAGGGGGGGCCGGCGACAACAAAAGCCGGCGCCTACCATGCGACAACAACAGACGAAACAAAACGAGACGTCGCTGGCCACATCTTTTTCCGCGCGTCTAACTATCCGCGCGCCAGGCCAAATCAAACGGCGAATATGCCGCTATGCCAAAGGGACCCAGCGCAGTCTGGCGTGAGGCTGCCGGAGACGAAAGTCAAAATCGCTGGTTGACGGAGATGAATCAAACAAAGCTATGTTTGGCCGAAGCGAACTGACAAGCGGCAAAAACTGGCAGGCGCAGCAAAACAAAAAAGTTGCGCAGTCGCGACCCAGCGACTAATGAAGTGCTGCAGCTAACTACAGCACGGACCACCTGACTATGCCAAAGTAACGGTGGAGCCGTTTTATCTTATCACCTTAACAGGCAGTGACGACCGACTTCACTGCAACGAGGCTTGTACTTTCGGTCTTGGTTTGACTCACTCGGCAGCTATGGGCGTGTCAGTGTATATTACAACGCAAATACCCGTTATAGGTTTCTATCAATTTGATTTTTTATGTTCTTCATACGACAAAAATCCTGCGGCCTTCTCCATACAAATCAATTTCGAGGACCAGACAACATCTGGCGACAACAAACTCAATCTTCGTCGCAATTCTTAGCGCTCTTGCCCGTTGGCAGCAAACAACTAAAACTAGCATTCCCCGCCCACGTGACACGGTTAACAACGGCAGCTTCCGACATCACGACTCTCAAAGGCCCGATCTCGCCAGCTTGTCACCATTCCGATAGCTCAGACAAGCAACACGCTGTAGGTCAAGCCAAACGTACGTGTTTGTCATGCTGAAAGCACTCTCTGCTCCTCTTGCTCTGCTTGGTTCAGGGCTCCAACGCTCATTTGCGATACAGAAGACGGCATATTATTGTTACCGAAAACAGAACCTATACACAAAAGCGACCAGGATGGGTGACGCGACGTCACTGCCGGGCGAGGCCACGGAAGGCGCCACACGGGCACCGAAAAAGGTCTTATTTTTGTAAGCCGCATTTCACGCGTCCCGAACTGACAAAGCCGACAATGCGACTAACATTGACGCCCGCCTCCAGTGACATTGACAACTGCCTCTACCCAAAAAGCAAGTATCAGACCTTTCGCTCTCGCCTATGGTTATGATTCTCCCTGGAAATTTCACACTAACCCCCCTTTGTCTCTCCAGGCGCAAAAGTCCACGACCGCATGGCAAAGCTCATTGACGAGTACTTTGCCAACCATCTGTCTCTACCTTGGGATGAGGCTGTGCGACTGCACAAGGAGTACTACCAGAACTACGGCCTGGCCCTTGAGGGCTTGGTACGGCACCATCAGATCGACCCGCTCGACTACAACGCAAAGGTGGACGATGCGCTGCCGCTGGACGAGATCATCAAGCCGAACCCGGTTCTGAAGCAGCTTCTACAGGACATTGATCGCGACAAGGTACGGCTGTGGCTGTTGACCAATGCATATGTGACGCACGGCCGGCGCGTGGTTCGGCTGCTCGAGATCGAAGAGCACTTTGAAGGCATCACATTCTGCGACTACGGCTCAACACCGCTGTTGTGCAAGCCACACAAGGACATGTTTGCGAAAGCGATGCGCGACGCGGGCATCGAGCGGGTTGAAGATTGTTTCTTTGTCGGTACGCATCATACCTTGCGACACTAGGCTTTGCAAACCGAAACTAACATGACTATAGACGACTCGTACATTAACTGCAAGGGCGCAAAGGAATTCGGCTGGACGGTGGCCCACCTGGTCGAAGAAGGCGTTACCTCGCCACGAACACCAGCTTCCCAGTTCCAAATCAGCACCCTGAGCGAGCTGCGGACTATCTACCCGCAACTTTTCAAGAGCAGCTCTTCCTAAGATGGCCCAGTAACGAGACAAATCCGTCTATGTGAAGAGCTGCATGCATTTGATTTGCGTGTAATGATAGAGCAACGTGTTATGGTTATTCGTGGCTGCACACATAGACTTGCCGCGATACATTAGATCAGAGACCCTACAGGCGGCCCTGCTTGGGAGTGGCTTCTTAATAGAGCATCTGCGTTATGTTTTTAAGAAAAGCTTTTTTTTCTTGCGTCAAATCAACCATGGGGTATCTAGCTTCAAAGGTTTCACTGTCCAATTACATCTCCAACCACCGGCGTCTATGGCCGCTTGATACTTCGGATCACGCCGTCCAATTTCGCCAGCATTTCGTCTCGCTCACGTACCGCCTCTTTCCGCTGCATCTCCGCCACTTTTAGTTCTTCCTCCAGCTCACGGATCAGCCTCTCTTGGTCTTGTTCTGTATTTTCGAGGCCTGGAAGACTGCCGATGAGGTATTCAATCTGCTGCTCCTTATAGACAAGGTCGCGCGCCAGTTCTTCCTGGCCTTGCCGGAACTCGTCCGCGGGAATTGCCTCGACTAAAAAAAAGAACAGACGAATGTTAGCACAGAATAATCGTATGTTATCTAACGGATACCATGTAGAGGACAAACCAGTTAACGTCCGAGGCTGGCTCTCAGTCTTCTGCTGCTCCTGGATGATGTCCGTCGGTCCCAGCTTCTCGAGGTTGTGGTGGCGTTCGAGGAAATAGAGGCACGCCAGGAACTGATGCGCAAGCTGAAGACGAAACGGTCAGTGGCAGCTCGTTTTATGCACATCCCCCATTCTATTTCGCCTGCTAGGGCTCGCCCATCGCGGTTGTTGTGCGATAAGAGATCGGGTGCAGCATACCTGGTCCACGGCATCCTGCACTTGCGACAAACTGTCGGCCGTCTTAGTTTCTGCCATGGTCGCAGCTGGGGGTCAGGAGCACGCGCGCAGAAATGTAGCGCAGTATTCGTGAGTGAGTCGGAAGTCGACGACAGGTTGATACGTTGGCCTTGGTACGACGGACAAAGTACGACGTAATTACAGTGTGCTACATCAGTCGTTTTGGGCACGCTGAATGCCTCTACAGTGCGCAACCAGACGCCCCAGCATGAAGGACAAAGCGTGTCGTGAAGAGGCACTGTGGCGGTGCTTTGTGGCTTGTGCAAGCTCCAATGTGGAATTATCGGGTTCCTCAAAACGGGCTAGGCGCTCGCACCTGCCAAAACCACGCAACAATAAGGCCTCCACACCTGTTCCCAGTAGGGTGTCCTGCGCCCCTTCCACCTCCTCCAAGCTTTCGCTCTGGCTCCTTCCAGACCTGCCAGCTTGTTCTTGCCGTGCCCGCTGCCCAAATTTGGTTGCAGCCCCCCAGCAAAGCTTCGTCATCTCCTTCGCCTTCAGTGTTCACCACCTTCACCCCCATCACCCTCACTCTTTTCTCTTTTGTTTTGCATCGCCATTGCACGCCCTCTGTGTCGTGTGACCCCATTTCCCCCGTTTCCCTCCCCTTTGCCTTTGCTTGCTCCGCGACCAAGCTGTATTGTCCTCGGGGGGCTTCGCCTACTCCTTTTGCATTCTTGGATGTTTTAGCTTTGTTTCTCTCCTTTTCTCACCCATTTCTTTTTTGTCGAGCTTTTTCTCCATTCGCCTACACTTTCTGTTTCTGCTTGCACGACATTTTCTATCTCGAGCTATCTAATTCCCAATTCTTGAGGGATCCGTCCATCGTCTCTGCCTCCTGCGATCCTATCGTAGCCCGACGCCCCTATCGAGTTGATTCCGAGGCTGCCATGTATTCCAACTCCAACTCATTCCTCGGCGGCGCCGGCCTTCGCCCCGGCCAGCAGCAGCAGCAACCTCTGTATGGCACCGCCTCGCCGTTCGGCCATCAGCAGCAACAGCCGCAGCAGCAACAGCAACAGGGTCCATTTGCGTCACAACCGACTGGCTTCGGCCAGGCACCCCTACAGTCACAGTACACAGGCTTTCCTGGCGTTCAGGCCCAAGCAACCGGCATGCCTCAGCAGATCCCCGGTCAGCTTCAGTCGCAGTACACCGGATTCCCCGGTGCGGGCGGCTTTCAGTCGAGTGCTGCGCCGCCTATGCCTTCGATTCCGGCACAGTTCCAGCAACAGAACCAGCAGCAGCAGCCTCCACTTCCTTCGCTGCCACAACAGTCCTCGAGTCCCTTCTCCTCTGGACCGTCTCAAGGCCTTGCCCCCCCTGCCGTGCCGATGAAGCCCCAGCCGACCGGCTTCCAGGAAATGGCTGCTTCGTTCCAGACCGGCGGTGGTACCGCAGCCCGCGCATCGGCTGCCCAGTCAGCTAAGCCCTCGTCGAAGATCCCGAATATCCGCCTGTCCTTTATCACAGCCCAAGACCAGGCCAAGTTCGAGACCCTGTTCAAGTCAGCAGTCGGCGACGGCCAGACCACGATGAGTGGCGAGAAGGCGCGCGACTTGCTTCTGCGGTCGAGATTAGATGGCGACTCTTTGTCGCAGATCTGGTAGGTCCTTGGCAGAAGGAGATTGGGATGCAGAAGCTCAGTGGAAGCAGTTTTTTGTGCAGCATACTAACTTTGTGTTTTTTGTTTCTTTTCATAGGACTCTCGCCGATACCACCCGCTCCGGACAGCTCCATTTTCCCGAGTTTGCGCTCGCAATGTACCTGTGCAACCTGAAGCTCACGGGCAAGACGCTTCCCTCGACTCTGCCGGCCAACATCAAGAACGAGGTCTCGAGCATGGTGGACATTATCAACTTCAGCATTGAGGATGACAGCGCCAACGGTGCACAGTCTGCGACCAACGCGCCCGACTTCTCTGGTCGCCAGACCACGGCTTCCCCGCCAGCTATCCAGCACCCGCAACCGCAGGCTTCGAACTCGCAACTGCTCCAGGCGACGATGACCGGCTTTCCCGGCCAGCAACAACAGCAGCAGGGCGGCTTCCTCAGCCAGCCGACAGGCTTCCAACCGCAGCCCACTGGTTTCCAGGGTCTCCAACAAAACCCCCAGGCCGCCGGGTACAACGGCCCTCGTCCTCCTATGCCGCCAATGCCCACTGGATTTGGTGCTGCGGGCGGTGCTGGCATGGCCGCGCCTTTGAACGCCCAACCGACCGGACGGCCTGGTCAGTGGGGTCTGGTCAACACTCCTTCGACGGGCCTACCGAACATCGATATTCTCCAGGCACGGATGATGCCGCAGACTGGCCGCGATCAGGGCAACACAGGAAACTTCACGACGGCCGGTCTACAGGGCAATGCACAGATTCCGTGGGCCATCACGAAGGGTGAGAAGACCACCTACGATGCCATTTTCCGTGCTTGGGATGGCATGAACAAGGGTTTCATCGCCGGTAGCCAGGCTATTGAGATCTTCGGCCAGAGCGGACTGGAAAAGCCCGACCTCGAACGTGTGTGGACCCTGGCTGATCATGGCAACAAGGGCCGTCTAAACCTGGATGAGTTTGCGGTCGCCATGCACTTGATCTACCGGAAGCTCAACGGCTACCCTGTTCCCGCACGCCTGCCTGCAGAGCTCGTTCCTCCGTCGACCCGGAACTTCAGCGAGTCGCTCGACACGTTGAAGAATCTGGTCAACCAGGAGTCTGACTATCGCAAGAACTCGGGTGCTGCTCTGCTCCCCCAGAAGACGGGCGTAAGCTACTTAAAGAGCCACTCGTTCCGTGGCAGCGGTGAGGCCTTTGGGTCGAGCCGCAAAGACGGTACTGTGTTCAAGAACGATGACGAGGCAGTCAGCTACAAGTCCAGCGCCCGCCGCAGACTTGGCGGTGGTAACGAGTCGCCTCGGCCCGACTCCCCGTCTTCGGTGACGTCCAACGACGACCTAACGCTGGAGCAGCTGCGCAAGAAGATTCGTGAGAAACAGGTGGTCCTGGACGCTCTCGACTTTAGCGACGAGAAGAACGCTGAGGAAGATGAGATTCTCGACAGAAAGGACCGCCGCGAGGCCGACGAGCTTTACCGCCGCATTAGACGTATCCAAGAGGACATTGACAGCCACCCGAACGCGTCTCTGGTCAGCACCAGTGGCAACTCGGATGCCGAGCGTCGTACCCTGAAGCGCCAGCTCCAAACTTTCACCGACAAAATTCCCAGCCTTGCGTCCCAGGTCCGCAAGACAGAAAAGGCCATTTCCGACGCTCGCCTTGAGCTTTTCCGTATCAAGGACGCCAAGGCGAACCCGAGCAATGCAGAGCCTATTGTCGGCACTGGCCCCGGCGGTGCCGTGACTGAGTCTGACCGTGTCAAGGCCCGCGCCAAGGCTATGATGCGCCAGCGCACCGCCGCTCTCCGGGGCGAGAAGGTCGAGGCCTCGGATAACGGCGCAGATGCCGCAAGACGTCTGGAGGAGGAGAGCTCCAAGATCCGCAGCGAGAAAGAGAACAACGAGCGAATGGTCCAGGACGTCGAAGACAGCGTCCGTGAGTTTGCCTCTGGCATCGAGGATAGTATCAAGGACACGGGCAGCAACTCCACTTCGGAGCACGAGCGCCGTCGTTGGGAGGATGCGCTTGGCGTGGAGGATGAGGTCCGTGACTTTATCTTTGACCTCCAGCGCTCCAGCCGCTCGAACCGCATCCGCGCTCAGGACCGTCGCCATGACGCGCTGACAGCGCCTGCAGATGCCGGCCCGCACTCGGGCTCCCCTAGCACCTCTCGCGTCGAGAGCCCGGTATCCAGCTCTAGAACGGCAACACCGACTGCGGGTGGCTCGTCCTACTCGGCCTACAAAACGCCTGAAGAGAGGGCCGCCTATATCAAGGAGCAGGCCGCCCAGCGCATGCAGGAGCGACTTGCTGCTATTGGTATCAACCGCCGTGGCGAGTCGTCTGCGCAAAGGGCAGAGCGTGAGCGGACGGAGCGCGCAGAAAAGGCACGTCTGGCTGACGAGGAGACAGCCCGCCGAGATGCCGAGCGCAAGGCCAGACTGGCCGAGGAGCAGGGCATCCCACCACCGGCTGCTACTGCCGCTACTGCGGCTGCCGAGACAAAGAGTGCACCACCCCCGCCGGCCGTCCGCAAGGCACCCAAGGTGGAAGAGGAAGAGCGCCTGGAACAACAACAAGCCAAGACCAAGCAGATTGAGTATGTTTTTATGCTCCCTCGGGTTTCTCGAAGGTAATGACTAGTCCAGTTACTAACTGTTTATAGGACCAACGCTAAGGCGGATGAAGACGAGCTGTCAACTGCCGAGCAGCGTCTCAAGGAGCTTGAGGAGCAAGTGCGGCTGGGCAAGATCAAAAAGGAGGAGGAGAAGAAGAAGAAGAAGGCTGCCCTCGCCGAGGCGAAGGAGAAGGAGGCCAAACTCGCTGCACGCCGGGCCGAGATCGACGCGGCCAAGAAGCGCGAGGAGGAGCTTCGGCGCCAACTGGAGTCGATGGACGCCGATTCAGACTCGTCCGACGACGACGAAGGTCCGCAGCAAATCACGCCGCAGGCCTCGACGCCCACGCTTGCCAGCAGTCAAATTAGCAACGACCGCGAGGTCGCACCTACGGCTGTCGTACCTCCCGTGCCAACGTCGAACGGCAACGCCACGTCACCTGATGAGACCAAGGCCGAGAGCCGCAACCCGTACTTTAAGATGCTGTCGCAGTCCTCTGATAGCTCTTCTGTTACCGGCCCCGCTACGGTTGTATCTCCGCCTGCGTCTACGGGTCCCGCAAGCGATGCTTCGACCAATCCCTTCCACCGCATGACGGCCAATCCCATTGCGGCCGCCGCCCCTGCTGCCCTTCCTACGGGCCCGGTCTCTCGTAAGCGTGCTGACACGGACGATGGCTGGGGCTCGGATGCGAACGACGATGAAGAGGAGGACTCGGACGACGACGATCGGCCTGGCGGTAAGAGCGCTGCCGAGCTGGCGTCCCGCCTGTTTGGCAGCATGGCGCCTCCTCGGCCGCTGTCAGCTGTGGGTGACAAAAACACGAGCGCCTCACCTGCGTCTGTGAGCTCACCCACTGTGCCTCCGCCACCTCCTGTGGCTGCGCCCGACGTGCCTCCTCCTGCACCTACTGCCGACGCGCCCGAAGCGCCTGTGTCTGGTGCGCCGGCATTTGCCCCTCCTCCTCCCCCGATTCCCATCTTTGAAGCTCCGACAGCTCCCCCTCCGCCGCCGCCCCCGGCACCGTCAGCCGATGCTCCGTCTGCTCCGCCTCCACCTCCACCCCCGCCACCACCGCCAGGCGGTGCACCAGGAGCCCCTCCTCCGCCTCCTCCCCCCCCACCGCCAGGCCCTCCTCCGCCGGCAGCAGGTGGTGGCGGGGTGGGTCAGCTCCCAGCTGCTTTCCTGAGCCAGGTCAAGACGGGCATGGCTCTGAAGAAGACGGTGACTGTTGACAAGAGCGCGCCTATGTCGGGCGGTCGCGTCCTGGACTAATCTAGATGATTATGCCGTGTGCGAAGTAGTCCCGCGCCTCCTTCTTTTATCCCTACTAGATCGGGACTGCGCAATAATTCTGATCCTATAGTTGGTGCTTAGTTGGATATTCTCCATGCTATAGGGTCCTTTTCGTCCATTGCCTTTTTTTATGTTTTCTGACTTTGCTTTGCCCGCTTTGTTGACTGAGGGCGTGGTATTTGGCGATGCGTTGTGTTTTCTTTTCTCTTCCTTTTTTTTTCTTTCGGAGCTGCCGCTTACCCCGGCGACCAGCGCCAGCCGAGGCGATACGACAGAGTAAGGGCGGGAAAGAGACTATCTCAGTGGGAGGTTTGCTCGTATCAGTCCTGTTGGCAACACCTTACTGTCTACCCTGCGCACGCCCTCTCTATCTCGCTCACTTTCTACCGTCTGTTTCCCTGTTCATAATTTTCTTATCAAGTTTGTCAAATAAGTTCCGCCTGATACATGTCTTCATTAGCCTTCGTTTATGTCTTTTGTTGGTTTCTATGCTGGCGTCTCTCGAGAGCCAATCCCCGTCGCAACACAATGTCAACAGACGTGGTGGTGAGTAGTACGATGGGAATACGATGGGAATGGACGACGAGTGAGTTCGTTCAGGGTACGGTACGTCGGTTGGCTTTACCAACTACACGACCTAATGCCATACTCTCCTTGTCTCTATCGTCGTATGGCATTTGACGGCTTGCGGCCTTGCCTAGTCGTGACGACATGTTGGTATCGTGAGATAACCATTGTGGAGGTAGTACCTGACGTTTGTGCTCGTAGTACCGGCGGTTCTTCTGTTTGTCGACTGTATATGGTTATCGTCTGTGTGGTTAACGAGAAAACATATGATTGGCCCACATATGGTTGTTTTATTGTCACTTATGTTATATGTGTGTTTTTGATTTAAAAAATTCAGCAATATAATAAAAATTAATATATTTTTCTTACCATTATTATTCCGCCGGTATGAAAAAAAAACCAGGCCTCATATCATCGTTCCCATTATGTTGTCCCCTCATGCAAAAATATTGCACAAATATACGTATAAGAAACAATAGAAATGAGCACCTTAAAATACCATACTGGAAATCCGTGTTTTCGGGATACCGCAACCTTAACGGCCCACCAAATATAAACTGTAAATAAATTACCAGCCACCCTAACTCCTGTGGTCAGCAATATAACCCACATACGGTGCACTATGTTTGTTAAAGCACCGGGCCCGACATTAAGAAAGAGCAACTCAACGGCGCGGTGAAACAGGTAACAACGAGTAGTGATGGAAACACACGAAATATACGTCGTTGACGAACCGAAACGAAACAGAGATACCATGGAAGCTGGAAACATGCCACCCCACTAGACGGACTCACTGAGAATTCAGAGCCTGGATCTGGGCCATGGACGCTTTGTGCCTCCGCAGAAAAGAGTACACCTGCCCATCCCGACTGCGGCCTACTAAGAACAAAGTCGCCATGCTTGTTTCCCTCTCCCTTGCTGAAAATGTGCACCTTGCTACTCTCTCGTAGTCTGTGCTGAAACAAGGCCTCCTGAAACGAAACTTGTATTCCTTACTGCCACTGCAACAAGCCTCATTACTGCATAACCAGCCAGGAGGAAGAACACAGTCAAGTTCGAGGAGTATGCGAATAGACTCGGTACTCGTCAACCGCGCCGACCATCTTAAGCGGAGGAGGCGCCAAGACGTGATCCTTGATGCCAACTTCGGCGGGGATCGGCAATGTCACCTCAAGCCCGATTGTGAAAATTTGCTACGAGGTGAATTGTGGGATTGTGGAAAGCCCTCCATACACCGCAATAAAGTCGCTTTCCCTGTAAAATAAATTTCAACGGGCCAGCTGGTGTTGCGTGACGCGATCTCGCGATGTACTGGACGCGGCCAGGCTTGCTGGACCCATCTATTTCACAAGCCGACAAACTAAGCCGGACTCGTCGTGTCCCCGTACCTCATCTCTCTTCCGGCTCTCAATCTGTTCTTGTCGGGTGCAAGACCCATTTTTTCACACATGGATCGTCCCTGGCCCTATTAGTGGGCATTCGTGTCTTAAGAGCATGGGGTTGCTTTTCTTTTTTTTCGCCGTCTCTTGCTGTGCGCTTTCTCGTTTCGTCACTTCCTCGGCGAGCTCGGTTTCCACGAGGGCTGATGACTGGGAGTCGATGGACGAGAGTTTCGTCCAAAGAGGGGAACGGCGCCGGCATCGAGAGGGAATATGGGCCCTCTTCAGTGGCGGCAGCTGATCCTTCTCGTCAAGGGGCAGGGTGAGGCATGAACATGCCATTTCGGAGAGTGCTCTTAATGGATGCAAAATGCTCGTCCGCCCTATATTCGTCGTCCCACTGGACCAGACCAAAGCGGCAGCGTAAAGAATGGAGCGTGAATAAGGTGACCAAGGTGTTCGGCAAGTTAGACCGAAAGCAAGAGTCGGGGAGAACGTTGCTCAAAGAAATGTGGCACCAATGGCTGTGCACATTCGGAGCACCCGTGACAAGGGCGAGAAGGACACAAAGTGGTGATGTTCGTGCTGGAATGGTGACTGCTGCTGACTGCTTTGCTTGAGACATCGGTGAGATTGCGACATTCCGCTCTGACGAACCCCCCTCACCCTCTCTCTGCTGCCTCCTCCATGTTCCTGGCAGAAGTTGCGTGGTCCGATCTCGATGAAAGCCCCCGTTGTTCGTCGTACGATGTGATTTTGTACGGACTTCTTCGACGCTATTTGACCCGTTTTTTCCTCGCCAATGTGGACTTACGAAGTAGTTAGATACGAATACTTTGTCGGACACACAGAAACAAGTCCTCTGGCGCCGATCGTGATGTCACACATCGCCTTAGCACACCGCGACAGTACACGGGCAGGCAGGGTCAGAGGGTCTGAGAATCGGCGAGATTGGGAAAAGGGCCAGCTGAAGAGAAGAAAAGAAGAGCAGGAAATCGGAAATCGACATTTTGCCCAGACCAAGGGCGATCCTTCTCGATGACCAGTCGAAGATTTCCAGTTCACAATTGCTGCTTTCTGGCCCCCGTTTCTGGCCGGGTCGACGGCTCGCAAGGCCAGGCCGCTTTTCAGCGGACAGATAGACTGCCCGTTCGATCGGATCTCCAGGCACTTCGGGCACCGCCTCGTCGATGTTCCAATGCTCTCTGGTCACCAGAAAGAGCCTCTCAACGTGCGGAACAGATGGAGAGCGGAGGCTGCCTCGGGTCGATTCTGGAACGAGGGCAATTGATTCTCTTAACCAGTCAATCAAGGCCTGACAAACCTTCCCGCCTTGACCCCAAAGGCATGCCGCCCACTTGGTCTCGGCCATGGTATCTGATTCCGATAGACAAGACGCGCCCCCTCTTTTCACTTAGTGACCTGCATGCACTTTGTAGCCCACCCCCTGTCTCCTTTCGTTCGATCGCTGCAGGCGTCGAACTTGTGGCATCGTTGGTGCAAATGAACCGAGCGTGCGTTGTCTCGTTGTCTATGTGAAGTTTGGTCACCATGTCCGGAAAAAAGGCGACGTGATGGGCGACACCAGGAAAAGCCTGACAAAACGGCTGGTGGGGTTTTTACGTTTCTTTTCTGTCGTTTCGTTTTGAGACCGCGATCCCTGGTCTTATTTGCTCCATAAGCATTTCGGAAGCCTCGTCAGGGAATGCGATGAAGGATTTTCTCGTTCGTTTTTACGGACTATGTCCCTCGCACCTCGCTCTTTCCTGGTCCAACACCGCTCTTTCCTTCTTGCAAGGCCACACGGGAACTCGACGACTCCTTTACGAAACGAAGGAAAGAGCGGGATATAATCACGTCAATCAATCAGCCAAAAGTGCAAAATGCTGTTTGACGGGTGTATCTGTTTCGAGAGAAACACCTTGGCAGAAGCCCGACAATGACACGAAATCTTGCATTTTGTCGCCTTTTTGTCGCCTTTGGTGGTGGTGGCGGCGACCTATTGGAGCCAACGGGAATGCGCCGTTCGTTTCGCAATGCGGACCCCCATGTAATATGATTGGCTGACGCGACATTTAAATCAAAACAAACGAGACGCGTCTGGTCGCGTTTCCGCGTTTAGTACAAAACCATCCCCCGCTCGCGGCTCATACACCACCATTTTTGTCACCCACTTTGACCTCTTTTTTTGCGGCCCAACAGCACTTTGGCCGCAACTTTTGCCTGTCGATTCTGCTTCACGGCTTTGACCACCATACATACGTCCCTTCTTTGAACTGGCACCCACCCTCGCTCCCTCGCTTGCACAACGTCCAACCGGTTGCCGCATGATATTGACCTGCAGATAAGTAGTTATGGGAGTGTGCTACCTCGTACGGAGTATCCTTTTGCTTGGTAGTCTGGCAAAAGCGACTTTGTAATACTTCCCGCCCCGTTTTCTTCGCATAACGCACAGGCGACACAATGCATTTCCGGTGGCACACACAGGTGAGGCCAGTTATTTGAACAGGCCGGGCGGCAAGAGCAGAATGCAGAGGAAAGGAAAGGGCAGGCGTATCCGAGATGGCCCACAATCCCACCCATGACCACTCGCATCTGAACATGGCAGCCCCCGAAAAAGCCCATTGCTCGTTCGTCCACGTATTGTGTCTCCGACCTTCCCTTCCAATCATCCTGCCCCGCTTCCATCAATTCCAAACCATCAGATTGCGCCTACTTTCCTCTCTACTTTGGTCTCCCTGCATCCGCTCGGATCTTGTTCGAGGTCGCGGCCAGTCTTCTCCTTTCTTCTTGTCCTGCCCCGCTTGCTTGGGATGCTCCTGATTGAGGGCGCTTGATCGTCTTGTGGTCTTTGTCATTCGCACGTCGCCTGATCCTCTCATTTATCCCGTTGTAGTTGCTAACCTCAACCTTCATGCTCTTGCCGCCTCGTTTTGTCATTCTGTAGCGTCGTTCTTTTGCGTCCGTATGCAAACGGCAGGTCACGTAGGACGATACGGCGCATCGGGCAGGTGCGTTTGGAGAAACGAGGTCAAGAAATAAGAGAGAGCACCATGGGGGCCAAAGCGGCGGGGAAAGGGTAACGGGCGGCTTTGCTTATCACTTCGTAGGATGTTGTGCCTTTTTCCTTTCAGCGCATCCCATACATGCCTAATTTGGCACTTATGAGACTATCGCCCCCGGCTGAAGAACGGCGCAAGGGAGGGAAAGTGCTCTCAATGATGTCTTTGATCTTGCCTCCGTCAAGACGCACTTCTAGATTGCGATGGGGCTCGACGTCGCTGCTGATCGTTCTTACCTTTGCAGTTTTGCTCGTATCAAGCCCTTGCTTCACGTCCTGGTCTGGCAGCCGCCACCAACTTCCCGAGAAAGAGCCTGCCTCGCGAATCCCTGTCTCACCATTAAAGCACCGGCATTTCAGACAAAAAGCGGCTTTGAATGAGGATCGCAACTGCCTTATCAGTTCATCACTCGCCTTTGCGCCGTAGTACTGAATTCCTTGGTATTACGCCGTCGACGCGGCCGGGCCACAAATCAGCAGCTGGTAGCCTGCAGCTTGCTCGGCCCCGGGAGAGCTCCAGGGACAAGTATCGCCGATGGCGACTGCTTCTGCTCTGGTACTGGCATGCATCTTGACCAGGTCACACGTCCCTCTTTTGGCCAACTGGCGGCACCCAATGTGCATCGTGCCTTCTTTCCGCCGCCGTCATCATGTCCCCGTACTCTGTAACTTGTGCTGCAGTCGCTTGCTCTTGCCCGTTTGTTCCTCCGTTTCACCCTCATGGCGCCGGTCGCATATGCCTATTGGCCCCTACCACGGTCGATAGAAGAGACGAAAGATTGGTCTTCCGCAAAACGAGCCGGCAGAGGGTTAGAAGAGTCGTATTAACGGGGGAAAAGAGAAGCGAGAAGGAAAGACCACTTGCCCAGCCCATGCCGACGTGTCAGCCTACGCCCCTGCTGTCCAATCCACTGGCCGCAAAACCTGCCCCACACCTCCTTCCCTTGGCCACACCCCCCTGCGCGTTCACGTTCCCAACCAAAGAAGAAAGAAGGCAGGCTCGCAGGCCAGCAGAAAGAAGGAGCAAAATGAGACCTGAAAGAACAGAGGACGAGACAAAACCCACTTAGGCCGGGTCTCAGGCGGCCTTTTCTGCCAAGTACAGAATACTGCAGCACTGAACGCCAGCAGTAGAGCCGGGCTGTAGCGGGTGTGCGGGTGTTCTGGCCCTGCACACCCTGCGCGGCAATCTGCGGACAGAGACGGGGTACCTAAACTGGTCCTATTTTTACCTGTCCATTGAAGGTATCTTACCACCCCCAAGGCCGCTCCTTCCCTATCCAACGCCCGACACGTCCATTCCGTGCCCTGTACGTCGTTCCTTCCCTCTCTGCCCAGTTCTCCTTTCCCATTTCCTCTCTTTTGTACACTCTTTCCCTCCTTTCACTCCGAATCTCTTACCCCCTCTTTTCCTTCTCTTTTCCTCTTTTTCTGACCTTTCCCTTTTCACTTTTCACCTCCGCAACCCAGCATCACGACATTTTACGCTCGCACGCATTTTGCTCTGTCACTTCCCCTCGCCTGCTCCTCGAACACGCACTCTACCCGCTCGTTTCGACTCACAGACTGAACATTACTGTACTTAGACGCCTAGCGGTTTTATACGTCACGCCAGGAACACGAAGAAAAGAACGACCAGAACGCGGACCGTGTCCAACAAATTTTCACACCGCGCTGCCACCGTCCGTCCTCCTACGCGAAGCCCTGCTTGGCTCGATATACGCAGACCGACTCAAGATTCACATAACCGAGTACGTGGACGTCAATCACTCGTCGCTTTTTGTTCGAGTTCTTCGAACGCCAGAAACCTCGACGCGTCCAGACCCGCTATAAGCGTAAGTGCCCTCAGCCTCCTTTTATGTCACCGAATCTCGATCATTTTCTCCCCTAGATGGCCGTTACCCTTTCCGCGACTGGCTATGCTGCGTTATTTCTCGAAAGTCTTTAGTTTTTCATACTGTCTCTCTTTCACAAAACGAGACTTCTCATTCCCCTTGCACACTTGTCCCCTTGCTTTGCCTCGTTTGCCTTCCAGCACATCGAATTAACACGGGACTTAATGGACAGCCCTTGGATATCCCACATATCCGGCTTCATCAGCAGCCCCTTTTGACCGACTCCAGTCCCCGACCTTCTTTGACGGAACGGCCGCGATGGCTCTGCCTCCGCGCGCCGATATGTCCGATATGTCAGACCCCATCCAGATTTTTCAGGACAATTTTTTCAACCCGGCTACACCTATGATCAGCCACGCTCCCATGCCATCGATCTCAAAACCACCGCAACGTCGCATTATGCAGAGCGGCTCTTTCCAAAACGGCAACGGGAACACCCCTTTGGGCAACAGTACCGGAAACATCATCATCAACCCTCCAATGCAGTCCACTATGAGACAATCGCCCTCAAAAATGGGCACTCCTTTGATGTCCACATCGCCCCTGAGCCCCCTCAAGGCCTCCCAGCGCAGCAACCTGAACGCCGTCTCCTTCAACCCGCCTGTGGATCACACAAAGCCCACAGACTCTTTGCAAAAGAAGCAGCCTCTGATGTCTCGCTTCCAGACTGTGGCCCAGAAACCGGCAACGACAGACGCGAACTCGATTGTTCCCGCAGGCCCGGTCATAGGCTCCTTCACAATGGGCAAAGAGAACAACTATCCCATCATCTTCCCGGCTCCACCTGGACTCAACCTGTCGATCGAGAACTACTACCAAAAGACCCCCGGCAAGCGCTTGCTTGAGCCAGCACCGATCAAAGACGGACGGCCTCAGAAGAGGGCGCGCCTGGACGAGGAGCCGATCCCTCCGCACGATGCGTTCCCGCCCATTATTGACGACGGACTGAAACCTGGCCACAGCTATGCTACGCTCATTGGCATGGCTATTCTTCGTTCCGCCGGCCGGAAACTGACATTGTCACAAATTTACAAATGGATCTCAGACACGTACTCGTTTTACAATCCCCAGGACGCCGGCTGGCAAAACAGCATCCGCCACAACCTGAGCTTGAACAAGGCTTTTGTCAAGCAGGAGCGCCCCAAGGACGACCCGGGCAAGGGCAACTACTGGGCCATCGAGTCCGGCATGGAGCACCTGTTCATGAAGGACAAGACCGTCCGCAAGCCGATGGGCGACAGCCTGCAGGTCATGTCAACCACTGTCATGGAGCCCTCGCTCCCGCAAATGCCTTCTAGCTTCCAGGAGCCTGCTCTCCCGCCCCAACTACCGCCCATGCCCATGACTATGGTCGAGCCGTCGTCTACAGCACCAATGACCAACTCGCACTCCACCAGACAGCCTGAACTGTCTTCGGATGCTACTATCATTGCTTCTGACACTGCCGCGCCGGAGGAACAGCAACTGCCGTCAGCCGAGGAGAAGAACACACCGATCAGCACAGCGGATGCAGTGGACATGTCGGCACTCGAATCGTCTCAGTACTCGCCCATCCCTGCTACTGCTCTGCACTCGTCGCCTCCCATCTCCCGGCACATTGAAGCCCACAGCGGAACACCGCCGCCTGTGTCAAGAGCCCTTTTGGCTTCGTCGGCACAGCGGTCGCGGAAGAGGAAGTCTGTTTCGATGGATGATAGTGGTTACATCTCCTCTCTAGAGTCCTCTGCCCTCCGCTCCAACCAGAACGCTCGCCAGCTCCACGAGAGCGGCGACCGGTCAAGAATTAAGCGTGGCCGCGCTGAAGAAGAGATTGCTCGTCTGCGTGCCTCGTCGTACGACAGCCCGACAAAGAACCGGTCTCGTAATGGTTATAACCCTGGCTCTTCCTCACCTCTTCGTCACGGCCACCGCAACGACAGTGCTTCAAGTCGTATGCCTCCGCCACCACTTACACCTGCTGTGAAGCTCAAGGCGCCAATGAGACCGCCTCCATCGGTGTCACCGGGCACCAACCTTCGCATGCACCGCGACAAGGTGCAGAACATGCTGGCATCGCCGCTGCGGAGAATGGCCTCGGCATCCGATGATGTTCCGGGATGGGGCAGCCCATCGGGTTTCGATGAGTCGCTGTACAACTTTACAGACGAGTCAGAATTCACCCTGGACACAAACAACCTGGGTAATGCCTTTGAAATTTTCCAGGACGATGCTCTTCCCCACCTCTTCCCTTCTGTGCACAACGGGTCGCCAATCAAGGCCAAGGCACCGTCCAGCAAGCGGTTGCGCTTGGACCGGTCCTATTCTGTTAGTGCACTGTCTGATGTCACCAACGCTGCTGCAAGACGCAACATTACATCGGCACCTTTCCTCAAGGTGCCAAACCAGTCGCCCGGTGGCCTGTCGGTTGACACACCCAGCAAGTTCTTTGATGGACTGGGTTCGTCTCCCAGCAAGTTCTTTGAAATGCAATCGCCAAGCAAGTTGCCACGGAATGGGTCCGGCGCCGCTGCCCACTCCCTGGCGGCTGACAATGGCCTCGGCGACGAGAACTCATGGCCTGCTCTGGACGACATTTGTGCCCCAGAGTTCCTCCAAGAATCGGATGACTTTGCTGGTTTGGACATCCTGCAAGGCTTCGAGAAAATCGGCGCCAACATCCAACCACAGCAACTCGTCTCTGCTCCGCTACAGCCCCGCCTGATGCCGTACCCTCAGCATCAGCAACAGCAGCAGGCACCCAGCCGCAGTGGCAAGGGTGCACAGAAGCCCACCTTCGGACGCAGCTTTACTTCAACATTTTAAAAAGTAACGACGTTTCCACTCACGTTTTCTTTGCTATCGATACTATTTTCACGTTCCCTTACACCTATGAATTTTCCTACCCTTTCCTTTATCTCTTGGCAATGATTTATGATGTCTCCGAAGAATATAGCGGTTAGCAGCAATCACGTTACGGCTTCAGGGGTGTTTGGTCTGCGTTTTGCTCTTACTTTCTACCCTACTTTCATTTGCTATGGTTGTCCCCTTTCCCGCTTGTCTTATCTGCAGTATTGTACGCATTTTTTGTTTTTCTTATTCTAGGAGGATGAAGCGCCTCACGTTGTTTCATTTTTGCACTTGCGAGTTTCCTTTGCCCTTTGAGCGTTTACCTGAAGCCTGGTTTATATTCCCTTACTCTTGTTATTTGCCTGCTTTTGTTTATCTATTTGTTATGGACAACGGTGTTGGGAGAGTCCCTCGACGTTCTTTTGGGGATGACCCGGGAAATGGCTTGCCGTTTTATTTTTTGCACTTTTATTGACGTTGGGCCTCTTTGCTATTTTAGGAGTTGAATTAGGACAACCAGGGCAGGGATTACAAGATTCGGAAGAACACATCTTGGGGACCACGGGCGTCAAACCGATGCAGATATATGAACGAGCACAACCAACGCTGGCGCCAGCGGTTTTATGGCTTGATTATCAATGAGTTTTTTTATTTTGTTATCACACTGTAATGACATACTTGCAAGGCGCAGGCGGTTTCTTGTTACGTAGTGATATTGGTATTGGTCTGTATAGAGTGAGTATCGGATTGATTCTCTTTACAGAGTGTTGCTTAATGTGTCATGCACATAGTCGCCTTTGCTCCCTGGCAAGAGGCGAGCATCAGCTAATACATAGGGGACAGACATAAACACGGAGACAATATGGCTGAGAGAATAAAGACTGCGACTGCAGGCCCAACCTGCCTGGACAGTCTGCCTGTCATAAAGAAACGCCGTATGGTGATAAAAAAGTACCAAGAGACCAAAGAACCAAAGATGCCAATGAAGAAACGCCGACGCCCACCCCGGATCGCAAACGCCTGAAGACAAGGTATCTCTATAATATGGGTAGTGCACAGCGCCGTAGGAAAAAAAAGATGAGAGGGCACGGAGGGCGAGACGTGCTCTTATATACCTGCGAGCTCGCCGCAAGAGCAGAATAGTGGAGAAGTAAGGTGAAAGAGTCCAAGCACAGACAGCCCAAACTGAAGGCATCTACTAGTATATGCCCATCCGTGCTGCCCAGCCGGCCTCTTTCTGGTTGACATTGATCTGGTACGGAAACGGGTTCGACTCGGAGGTGGTGATGGGTGGGATGTGGTCCTTGTTGGCGTTGACGGAGGTGACGATTTTCATGACGGCGGCTAGAAGCGTGGACTCCATGGCCTGGCGGACCTTGGCCCGTTCTGGGCTTGTTAGATGCGGCGAACAATTGTGCCGTGATTCAAAGAGGCAAAAGGCAAACGGACGCAACTTGACTCACCACTTTCTGTGCGCGGCTCGGCCACGGTGACTTTGACTGTCCAGCTCTCCCAGCACACTTCCTCCTCGCCGCGCATAACATACCACGCCTTGCGGCGGCGCTTCTCGAAGAACTGCACCGAGATCTGGCCGCGGCCGCCCCGGCTGTTGCTGCCGCCATGGCTGCCGTCGTTGATGCTGGCCGACTTCTCCTCCTCGAGCTGGCGCACGAGCATCTGCGTCCGCTGGTCGATCAGGGTCTCGAGTTCGTTGTCGTCAATGTAGGGCAGCGTCAGGTCGAGGACGTTGCGGGTGCGGGGCATGACGGAGGGGAAGAAGCGGTGGAAGAAGATGGTATGGAGGATGCCTGGAGGCGTTAGAGAGGTGAGATCTCGAGATAAAAAGAAAGGACCAACAAATCAACAGCATAGCAGACGGGGTCCTACCCCGAACAACATCTTGGACAGACGACGGATCGACAAAGGCCTCAACGTTGAAGTCAATCGTGCGATGCTCCATGGCGGGAGGAGGACTAGGACGGGGACAATGGGGGATGCGCTCTCATCTGTGGGCTGTCGGTGAAAATCACATGTAATTGGCGTTGAATAAAAAACAAAAAAAAAGAATTGGTAGAGTTCGGTCGAAGAGCTGGGAAGGAACTCTGGACTGAATATCGCAGGAAATCACCGCACGGGGAATTGATGTGGTAATCGATTTTGCGGAAGGAGTGAGGGGTTGAACGCTGATAATGGCTGAGCCGACCGCTTTCCGTTTCCAGCGGCAAATCTGGAGAATGGAGCCAGGTAAGGCCCGTCGGTTTGGGGGGGGGGGGGGGGGGAGGAGCAGCCCGCGCGACAGCTGACTATTGACTGGCATGTTGGATACGTAAAACGCTGGACGAGAGTCTAGCTCGCTAAGTAGGAAGGAGACATGGGAGAGGGGAATGGCCACTACGCGCGCCATATGGCCGCACTGTTTGCCGTATTGAACAGACAAAGAGCTGTTGACAAAGCCGCCACCAAACGGCGGGCGGCAGGTGCAAACCAGCACAGGACGAGATGGGGAAGCTGCGACTGCCAGCGCCCGGCATGGGGTCAAGCCGGGTTCGACTTTCTGTGACTGCCAACTCCTTCTCTGCTGCCCACGCTAGAGTTTTAGCGCGTGTATTTTGGGGGAAGCAGGTTATGATGGCACTGGCACCTGCTGGCACCTGCTGGCACTGGGACTAGATGCCGCGTGCGTGCCGAGGCAAAGCTGAAGCTCACACGCGGCGCAAACTAATCTATAGGGCACACGTCTTTCTCCGCAGCACTGTAATTATTGCGGTGGCTGGAAACCTGGGCGCGACTGGGGAAGGCACGAGCACACGATTCGGCATTCTGCAACGTGCACCTACATAGGAGTGGAGTAGCAAGTCGGGTACTACTGAGCTTGCATCTCACCTGCTGTGAGATCATAGAGACCAGCAGCACTTTCTTCTTCCTGCAGCCACTTAACAGCTCCCTTCTCACCCGCCATCCCGACAGTCGCCTTTCTCGCGCTCCATCCTCGACCTGCGCATCGACTGCGCGCCCATCACACCCAATATGTTTGCAGCCACGCGGCAATGGTTCCGCCGCCATCGCACGCCCATCGCCATCGGCGTCGGCATCGTAGGCGCCGGTTACGTGGCCACGCAGTATGTGCTGTCGAAGCTCAACGACGCGCGTGAGCGAATGAGCAGCGACCGGATTGCCAAGGAGAAGTGTGTTCCGTCTCGTGCAATCCGTTTTGTAATGCATTGAGTGGTTCCTTGGGGCACTGGTACTGACAGCTGCTTTTCTCTATCGTTAGTCTTCGGCGCCGTTTCGAGCAGAACCAAGAGGACTGCACATTCACCGTCCTCGCCCTCCTCCCAACCGTCACCACAAACATCCTCGAGTCCATGAACACCGAGGCCATCACATACCAGATCCAGCACATGAAGACAGGGACCGCAGCTGCAGGCGCTCCGGCGCGCAGTCCGCCCAGCATCGCCGATACGCTGGTGACCGAGGATGAGAGCCGCAGCATGATCAGCATGCAGAGCGAGAGCGGCATACACGCGAGCCAGGTTGCGCTGCCAACCCAGGCGCCGACTAGCAACCCGACGACGACGACGACAACAACAACAACTCCATCAGCTGGTGAAGCAGCTCAAGAGCTGCCGGCCCAGCAGCGCAAGACCAAGCGCCAGCTCTGGGACGAGCTGACCATTAGCTGTGAGTTTTGAGTTTTGAGTTTTGATGTTTCTTCTTTTCCACAATCCCTTGGCCGTGGCCGCCAGCTAACTCCTCGCCCTACGCAGCCATCACCCGTGCATACACCCTCCTCTACACGACCAGCCTCCTTGTCATGCTGACCCGCATCCAACTCAACCTGCTCGGCCGCCGCAGTTACCTTTCCAGCGTCGTTTCCCTCGCCACAGGCAGCGCCCAGGCCACCATCAGCCTTGAAAACAATGACGACGACAACCTCCTGCAACAGCAGCATGCACTCGGCAACAGCACCGACTTTGAGGTTAACCGCAAGTACCTCGCCTTCAGCTGGTGGCTGCTCAACCGCAGCTGGGCGGACCTGGCCCAGCGCGTCGAGACTGCCGTCCGCGCCAGCTTTGGTCACCTGAGCCCGCGAGACTTGGTGTCTCTCGACAACTTTGCCGATTACACGCGCGCGGTGCGCCAGGCCGTTGAGCGGGGCCCGCTTGAGAGCGCCATTCCCTCGCGCTGGCTGTCCCTGGTTCTGCCGCCACCCGGCCTCGAAGACTACGTACTGCGCGAGTCGGGCATCCTGGCCGACAGCGCCGCCGCCACCTTTGAGCATATTGACCGGTCCGAGGCTGAGGCGGCTGCGGAGGCGGCTGCGGAGGCGGCCCCGTCCACATCGGACGCCGCGGCGCCGACCAGCTCCCAGACCATCCCTTCCCCCGATTCCCCCTCACAGGTGGCCGCCCTGCGCCGCATGCTCGATGAGACCGCCGATGTCGTCGAGTCACCGACGTTCTCGCATGTCTTGACCGAGATCTTGGATGCTGGCTTCGCCACGCTCCTCGAGCGCAAGGTTGCCCCAGTCGCTTTCGACTTGCCCCCGTCCGTCGGTGAGGGCAGCATCGAGCTCAACCGCCTGCGCAATGAAAAGGTCGTGCAGTTGCCCAAGATCTTGTCCGTGCTGACACGCCAGGCCCACGTCATTGGCAGCGGCATGCCCAACGAGTACCTGCACGAGATGGAGGCAGTGCGTGACCTCGAGGCCTTTGCCGCCGTTGTCTACTCGAGCAACTGGGAAAGCGAGATCCACGAGGAAGGGCTGTTGGCCGCGGCCGAAGAGGTGCGGCAGCAAGCCGCCGAGGCTGTGGCTTCGGGCACGTCTGAGGAGAAGTCGGTCCTGACCGGCCGGGCGCAAGTGGATGAGTCGCTCGTTATGGTGGACCCTTCGCAGAGCACACTGGAGAGTGCATGGGAGCGTGCCTTGGACCAGTCGTGAGAATCGAACGAGCGTCGCATCTGGACAGCATTCATACTTGGCACACTTTCTTGCATATCGTTTCGACATTTTCTATTTACACCCAGGCAGGCGTACCGCGGGAAGACGTAAGTTGAAAACACATAAAAAAGGGACAAAGGAAGACACATGTGGATGGATGGATGCATGTTCGAATGGAATGGTCCTTGTCCTTCCTATATTTTTTGAACCTGTATAATGAACAAATAAAAACCCAACCATAGATACCAAGTTATTTGCATTGCACTTTGCCCATTGCTTCTTTTGTCACGCTTGAATTCTTCCCCTTCTCCTACCCGCCGGCCCCTATCTACAACAGCCCCCGCACAAACTGGTCCAGCCCCAACTCAAACAGCTCATTCTTGACTCCTTCTCCACCAGCATGCTCGACCGGCGCCAGCGGGTTCTTCACCACGTACTCCACCCAGAGGTTGATGTAGATCTGGTGTAGCACGTTGCGCATGCTGAGCACGCCGCAGTCTGTCAGCATCACAAACCGCAGATTCGCCGGCGTCTCGTAGTAGTGCAGCTTGTACTGCCCCGTCCTGAAACTGATAAAGGCATCATCGTCCCCACCCAGCTTGCGCACCATGTTGCGCAGCGAGAACACTGTGCCGAAAATCAGCTTGGCATCGTCCTTGGACGTGGCCGGGGACACCTGCTGTGGACGGCCGTTGACGCCGAGAGGCACGAGCGCATCCAGCCAGTGCTTGGTGTAGATGCATTCGGCTGGAGCTTCCAGTTAGTGGGACGCGGGGACACACGAATTGCGAGTTGGGGGCAAAGGGCTACGCAGTAAGAGACGTACTGTGCCGATCAAAAATAAAAACGAGTAGACCGCCATGGCGACGGCCGCTCCCCCCGCCTGCCCCCTATAGAGCGAGTGCCGTGGGTTTTGTTTGGTTTCTCCAAGGGTAAAAAGGGGGGCCGGTCAGAGAAGAGTGACGCCGTCGGCGGTGGGTGACGATGTTGTAACGCGAGACCTGTCTGTCGCGTATGAACAGCTCCCAGGCCGTTATGTGTTCGCCGTTGGTTGCCGTGAGGTTGGCACAATTCGTCAGGGTTATGGTGAGGATGAGCTGACACGGACCTACGATGCATGTGGATGTGTTCCTAACTCGGTATAACGACCAAGCACGCTAGGCCAGAAACACTCTTACATACATAATATTCTTGTATCCGTATATGGACATTAGAAATCTGCACCTTCAGGATGGGCAAGCCAGATATCAATCCGAAATGAAATGAATTTATTAAATTGAACATTAAACCATTTAAAGGTCCCTTTTTAATATCCCCAAGACTCTTCCATGAAAATTCCGATGATTGGCCGTCCTATGTTTCTTGAAAAATTGTATAGAATGAGCTGCAAGTTCGCCGCTTAACCAGTCCTAGTTCTCGAAGCCCCACTGTCGCTTGACTCGTCAACTCTAATTTAGCACCGGAACGTGCTCTTTCCCCAAAGAAGAGACAGCCTTAAACAACAGACTCGGGGACAGTCCACAAAAGACGTTGACGAACAAAAGGGCGATGTTTATTCGTAAATTCAACTAATTCTTCGTGACTCTCCATCGTATACCCGACCTTTATTGTCTAGCACTCGTGTCTTTAAAGGCATTCTACGGCCACCGTTCACAGCAGTGCAGCCTTGCCGTCGCTTGTTTTTACAGGGCTGTCTGAGTGGCCTCGAGGGAAGGCGCAAACGGCAGGTTGGACCACACACCAACTGTCCCGACAGATCGAAAACTGAAGGTCCAACCCAGCCGCTCTCACTCGCGCGCTCACGCCCTGGTAAGGCTGGGCGCATATTTGGCTTCCCTTCCTCCCCTCCGGCGCCCCTGCCTCGTTCGGTCGACTCCTTATTTTATTTTATTTTTAATCGTGCCTGGCACCTCCTTCCGCACCCCGCCACTTTTGCCCGTTCTTGCCTTCAGCTTTTGCGGCCCCCGCCTACCCCTTTTCTCTCCCTTGTTCGACTATCACACAGGATTGTCGCAACATAACATAAGAAGAGACACAGAGACAGCAATGCAGCAACCGCCGACCACGCCTCCGGCCAACGCGTCGACCGCCCACGGCGACACCACGACGAGTGGATCACGGGCATCTACTGGCGACGCACCGTCCTCTGCCCACAGCAACGACCCCGCGTCTACGTCGAGCCCCGTCACCTCCAAGCCGTCATCACCAGCCTTCCCCTTTGGCCAGCTTCCCACCAGCCCTGGTTTCCTGTAAGTACATCTTTTACTGCTTGGTACTCCGTTCAATGGAACGACCGTTCCCGCAGCCAGCGGATCGGAAAATAGGAGATAAAGCAAGCTTTCGTAAGGTCCAAAACAGACGCAGAGCGAGGGCATGGCCAACGGGCTTTCCCGCTTTCTGCGGGGCCGCGTGGCAGTGCAACAAGGTGCCTCTCGACGTCCCTGTCTTAACATGGAGGAGTAACCGGTTTCCACCTTTGTTCTTCTATTTCCTCCATGTCTTTACCGCTTTATTTCATTATTTGTCGCCCCTGGAACCTACTGCTGGTCTGTGGCTCCTCCTCGCTGCATGCATTAACCGTGACTGACGTGGTCGCTGGCCTGCATTTGGCCGTCTCTTGGTATCCGTCTAGATCGGCTCCCACCTTGCAGTCATACCCAAGCCCTTTGAGACAGCACCGTCGAACGCCTTCTCAACATCGAGAAGTTAAGGTGAGATTTCCTGCACCCTTACGCAGAACGCCTTCTGTCATGGGTCAATACCCCTGCTCACAAGGCAGGAAACGCTCAATGCCGTCTCCGAGTTTGCCGATGACGACGAAGATGGCTCCTCCCATCACAAAATCAACCAGTACACTATCAACTTTATGATTGGACGTGGCTCCTATGGCTCTGTGCACGTTGCAACCGACCAATATGGCAAGGAATTTGTAAGTTGTAAGGTGAAAACGAGAGGGAGAGAGAGCATCTTCATCTGTGTTAACAGGACCAAGGCGGTCAAGGAGTTTTCAAAAGCACGGCTTCGGAAACGGGCCCGCTCCAACCTCATGAAGCAAGGCCCATTCCGTGCTGGGCGGTTTCCTGGCTTAGGCGGCCCGGTTGGTCCTCGCGGCCCATCATCAAGGCTCGAGGGTGAGGCACAGGCAGAGGCCAAAGATGCTCTCTATCTCATCCGCGAGGAGATCGCCATCATGAAAAAGCTAAACCACCCAAATCTGGTCGAGCTGATCGAAGTGCTCGACGACCCCGAGCAAGACTCTCTTTATATGGTACTGGAGATGTGCAAAAAGGGCGTCATCATGGACGTTGGCCTTGGCAAAACAGCCAAACCGTACGATGCGGAAGCTTGCCGGTGCTGGTTCCGTGATTTAATCTTGGGCATTGAGTACTGTACGTTTTTTTTTTTGGCAAGCAAAGAACTTGTCATTCACCCATGCTAACCAATGCCCGCCCTGCTCGGCGTGACGCTAGTGCATGCACAAAATATCATTCACAGAGACATCAAGCCGGACAACCTACTCATCACCGACGACGATGTGCTGAAGATTGGCGATTTTGGTGTCTCGGAGATGTTTGAAAAGGCCGACGGCATGCGCACAAGCAAAACAGCCGGATCCCCTGCCTTCTTCCCACCCGAGCTTTGCGTCTCCAATCACGGCGGCGTGGAAGGCCCACCTTGCGACATCTGGTCAATGGGCGTCACTCTGTACTGCCTCCGCTACGGCAGGATACCGTTTGAACAGGAAACCATGGTCGATATTTACGAGGCCATCAACACAGCTGAAGTGAAATTGCCGGAAGATGAAGACGAACAGTTTGTTGACCTCATGAGCAAGATCCTCGAGAAGGACCCTTCCAAAAGGATAACTATGGCTGAGCTAAGAGTACGTTTGCTTTCCATTTCCCCCTTCAGATATAATTATACCCGAATAACCTAACATGCTCGCGAAAAAGGAACACCCTTGGGTTACCCTGAACGGTGATGACCCTCTCCTGAGCACCGAGGAGAACTGTGCCAACCCGATTGAGCCACCTAATGCTCTGGAACTCAACCACGCGTTTACGCAGAATATGGGGAATCTACTATGTGTCGTACGTATATCTTATGATAACCAAGTTTTTGACCGTATCGTTTCTAACTCGCAGCAAAATAGCTGAAAGCCATCCGCAAATTCAAGGGCCTGCTCCGTTCGAGGAACCGGGACCCGAGCTTGACTGTGCCCCCGCTCGCCATCGATGTTGCGGATCTCGGTTCACAAGTTTCGTCGATCCGCGTCTCATCCGACCAAGAACGGATGACCGAAGACGAGGTGGCCCGCGTCGTAGAAGAACGAAGAAACAACATTCGGAAAGCAAGTCTCCAGACCAGTCGGCTCCTTGGTGCTACGGCTGTGGAGGGACAAGGGGGCGGTTCAACAAGTGCTAGAGGAGACGACACTGGCGGTAGAGAGAATGGTACAGGCATTGGTGTCGACCAGCCAACGCTGCTTCTTGGCATCGGAACGGGTGGTGGTGACGAGTTTGGGCCCGACAGGCAGTACGACGAGCCCGAGGACATCGTATCCGAGTCTCCGACGACGGCCGAATTCGACGTCTACGATCGTGCTTTCCAGTCAGAGGTGGCCCGTATCCAAAGCCAAGGTAGCAAGTCCAAAGTCTACCCCACCAAAGTTCTCGAGAGCATAACCAGAGGCAGCGGTGGCAGCGGAATGGCCGACATCGTGGCACGCCTCATGACGGAGAGACAACAATAAAAGGGGCGTGCTTGTTGTAACGATATTCATCGTTTCCCATCTTTAAAATTGTTTTCTATTGAGCTAAGGATATCCGGAGGCAGGCCCTCCCCGGAAGTGGATCACTGGTTTCGATGCGCACTTAGGTGCCTTCGGAGCACGGATGTATAAGTTTTGGAAAGGAATGGAAACCGTGGGAATACCTCTTCACACCTTTTGTCCGGGCACTTTAGCATTTCACTGACATATCTTTGGCGAGGCCTTCGAAGATTTGTCCAAGTCACGAAAAGTAGCCACCTCAACATTTATTGAACTCGTTCTTACCAAGTCTGCGTCTTCGTGCACCTTCTCGCAGGGCTGTGCTCACACTACCTACACCCTGCCGCCACACTCTCGCGCACACGTCCAGATGCCACGAAACGGGGACACAAATAAAATCATAAAATCCAGACTTGACTCTTGGCTGCATATGAGGTTTGACAGGCCTCATCACCAAAACTGAATCTCAGAGTTTGAAAGCAACAATACGCAGAAGAGCACCAAGGCCAAGCCACTGTTGCGTCCGGCTCGGGCTTAGCCCACCATCAAACCTACAACATCGATATATACCGCTTTTTCACGATTTACACAGCAATGGACGTTGCCGCTAGCAGAGGGCAAATGCAATCCTCCTTCACGGTCCAAGGCGCCAAGTCACGAAAGCCTCGTCCAAGGCTCCTCCAAGGCTCCTGTGGTTCCCAAAATGGCGCCCAGACGGTTTTGGTGACTCAATGGGGGTGAACCAACTGTATTCTTGTGCCGGTTACAGAAGATTGAGGATGAATATGATACGCTGAGATCTGTATACCACTGAAAAGAACTGTTTAAACCAAAGCTTGGCCGAAGGCAAAACAGCGTCTGAGGCCCATAGACGTTCATTTGTGAATCACTGAACAGAGGCAATCTCTTCACGGTGTTCTAGCCAAAAGAAGGAGAAATACAAAAGCAATATGAAGAATGAAACTCGTCTTGGATTTGGCCGCTTCTTGCCGAACCTGTGTTTGGATACAACAAGCAGCGGTGAAACTGTAACAGGAGAACACCGACAAAAAGTGCACGGAATAAATCATAGTTACAGCCAAGAATCTCTCTTGGTGGTCCACTGATACAGCCAACAGCGAATAATGACTAACAAAGGCCAAAAGCAGGTTCGGGATGCTACAATATGGCACGTCGTCCTCCGTACACAAAACCAATGCCAAGTGCCGGTGTAAGTGAGCGGCTGTGGTGACTCTTTTTTTCGTCAATCTGCTGTCCCGCCTTTTCCCCAAGAGCCTGTCTTGGTTAATTCTCTCTCGCTCCCTCTGTTATGTCTTTAATTAGCCGGCCTTTTGGTTTTTTTTGGGGGGGGTTTTTTTTAAAAAATTTTTTTTTAATGATTTCCGTTCTCGGCCCTGTTTTTACTGAGTTACCAACGAACAAGCTGGAATGCTGGCATGCAGACATTCGGGTGATCGGCTTGGACAGCAGGGCCAAGAGCTTGACTGGCAGGCGCTGATGTCATAATAAGTACATATGCAACAAGACAACGAGACATTAACTGCCCTGAAACACGACTACCGGCGACCAAACATTCTTTCTTGACCACTGCGGACATTCAATTGGTCGTCTGATCTTGTTTTGTCTGGACCTTTTGAGCTGAGCGTGGCGGATAGACAATGATAGGGCACCTCGGCATTTTGTTTTGTAAGCTTTTCTTTTATACGAAAAAGTGACAGCAAAATGACAGAATCTGGTTCAGATTTGCAGGCCGATTGTCGATTTTGGCAAGAAAAGATTTGAATCAGGGAAAGGACGAAACGTACTGGGTTGGAGCGCGCAAAGCACTGTCGTCATATCTGACTGACTGGTGCGCTAGCAGGGTATTTTTTTTGGCCGTCATATGCTCAAAATAGAACGGGACGATACGATTGACGTTGTCTTTGGCTTTGCAGCCCGAAACAAAGGGCGGTGACGTGGGTACAAAGAAGGAAAAAAGAACCAGAATACGATAACAAAAGAAAAAGAGAAGGAAAAAAGAAGAAAAACGAAAGAAATAAAAAGAAAATATTGCAAAAGAGTAAATGATCGACACGGTTGATCCTGACTGCAGCCGTCTGCGGCCCGGCCTTGTTCCATGGTCTAAATGAGTCGAATCCTTAATTGATGCGTTATACATCATTTTAAAACCAAAGAAGAGCTTGTTTGAAGTACGGGAGCTAGAGAGCTTGGTCGTCGGGGATTCAGGTACAGCTACCTCGTTTTTATGTTGACCTGCAGATGAGCTGTTATTCCTACTGCACGTCTATCAGTTCTCATTCTTTGGTAGGTCTGTGCTGTCTTTCTCATTCATGTACACCGCCAGATGTCGTGGCAGGATCTCCCTCCGAATTTTCCCTTGTTATCTCACAAGCAGGCCTTCCAACACGGATGCAAATGGGCGAGGAGGGCAAATGCAAACTGTCAAGCATAAAGTTCGGGCGAGAATGGCAACGAGCCACTCGTCTGCGAACAATCGAGCACGAGGGGAGCAAGGATGTGGGAGACGAGGCGGGACAGATGCCACTTGAGGCTGTAGGACGCAGATTTGCATGTCAATTCAGGTGAATTCTTGTTTTAAATCAAGGGTTACACAACGAGACGGCGGCCCGGGATGCATCTGGAAATATGTGCGCACAATGTCAAAACACACTACTGCGCTTATTTAGGGGTTGTGTTGTAACCTCTCATTCTGTGTATGTAAGAAAAGAAAGAAAATCGAAGAGAAACAGGACCACTCGACAACGTAGACGACCACTGTCGACAATTGAATGCTGGCACAACATTCGAAGCGACAATAGTACTTACTAGAGGAGACATCATATTCCAATAAATATATCACACAGTTCAGAATTCGACGTCTGGATACACTAGTGAACCTGTGTCCTTTCCCCAGCAAATGATGGAGCAGCAGACGCATTGGAATTGCCATCCAGTACCAATCATCGTCTATTGGCGTCCTGCGGTTCTGCAATCCGAGGGTGTGTAGACGGCAGGAAATGTGTCGAACTGTGTAAGTGGTCCGACACAATGGCACAATGGCGACGTATGTTCGAATAGTTTGTCTGGGTAGGGGGGTGGTGAACGTATAAAAAAGGAAAAAAAAACAAAAAAACACATAAATGTATTTTAAAAAATAGTGAGAGTGTCACAGAGGAGAGTCGCACGTTCGCTCGCATCCTCACACAGAGGATGGATGTGTGGGACTCTGCAACCCTGCATATTAGTCCACAGCGGGCTTTGGTGACAGCAGTGAATGCATGTAGGGTTATTGTTGCACGAAACATGTTGAGATGGGTTGTAGAAAAAGGGCACATCTGTAAAATGCCTCATAGAGAGCGTCCGATGCACATACAAAGCGGAGCATACGACAGTATGAGAAGAGCAAGCTGGAGAGAAGAGACCCTTCCACTTCG